TAAATACTTCTCCATCAGTATTTTACTTAATGGTTTTAACCATTAAGATAGCCATTGAAGAGGTCTAGTTTTATTTCATGAGCTGCTGTAAATGTTGACATTCTATTTTTTTTTTTCCTTTGGAGATGTAGTTTTGCTCGTTACCCAGGCTAGAATGCAATGGCGCTATCTCGGCTCACCGCAACCTCCGCGTCCTGGGTTCAGGCAATTCTCTTGCCTCAGCCTCCTGAGTAACTGGGATTACAGGCACACGCCACCATGCCCAGCTAATTTTTTGTATTTTTAGTAGAGACGGGGTTTCACCATGTTGACCAGGATGGTCTCGATCTCTTGATCTTGTGATCCACCCGCCTCGGCCTCCCAAAGTGCTGGGTTTATAGCCGTGAGCCATCAAGCCCGGCCGTTAACATTCCATTTCTATCAGACCTTCTGCATTGTGAAACTGGACTTACTCTGTAATGAGGAAATCTCTCTCACAACGATTTAGTTACCCCAAGCTATAAATTATATAAGGTAGGATACTTGATTCTGTCTTTCCTGTTCTCGGGCCCCAAAAGGCTCATAATCGGCTCTCCATAGCTTATACTGTTAAAAAAATCTGACATTTCTGCTCCAGACAGATGCATTCTCTACCTACTCACAGTGCACTCCTGCTTCTTTAAACTATTACAAGGTTTAGAGTGTACCTTATAAAATGTGATGTCTGGCTATGCAGTCTAGATTTCTTCACAAGGTTGATGGGCACCTGTTACAACAACGTAAGCTCTGAAAGGTGACAGACCTTCTGCAGTGTCCTGTTTGGGGGGGATAGAAAACAGCCCTGGTGAAACTAAACTATCATTTCTTTTTTAATGCAGGTACAATTAAAAAAAAAATCAATGGGAAATGGCTTTTTAAAAACATACAACTGCAATATTAATAGTGGTTTTGGAGCAAGGGCTCTAGAACAGGTGTATGAGTGGAATTGAAGTTTGAAAACAACTAAGGTGGCCCATGGATTGTCCTCACTACATGTCTGTAATTATTATAGGGAAATGGATTCCTTTTACAATGTGAATTCCATGTGGAGTGGGTTTTTGTTGTTGTTTTATCTTCTGTATATCCCCAGCAACTGGCATATAGTAGGTTTTTGATGCATCTGTTAAATAAATAAAATGAATAAATGAATTTATCATTTACTCTGCATAATTTATCATTTATTCTGTAACTTATTCTGTATAAGCCTCATTCACTACAAAAAGAAACGAATGTCAGATAGGATTCTTATTCTGGTTATTCGCCTAAACTCTTGTTAAAAAGAATGTAAATTTGTTTATGAAACAGGAAAATACATTTTAATTTGCTTACATGTTTTCAGAGTTTAGTCAGCTCTTTCTGCCATCTATTATAACATTAAGTCAGTGTTACTATTATGACTGAAACTAGCCCATGTCCTGTATCTATATAATACTTCTGTTTAACAAGGGCTTTAAAATATACTATGTGCAGAATATTAAAACAGCAATCTCTGAATCTTAATACCTTTTTGGTAGTTATGTTCTCAGTGAGATAAAACACCCGTAATTGTTTATTACTCAACCAAAGAGCAGTTAAGGGATTTTTCATGTGTAACAGAAAACATAGCATTACAACTACATAAATGATCTAAACTGTCAATGTCTGTGGAGTTTGCAGTCCTTAATTTACTTTAATTTTCTGTGAAATATCACAGTTTGGCTTTCTGCGAACTCCCGACTTCCATGATAAAATACTCTCAATTACATTATAATGGAGCTAACGGAATTTGTAAATCTGATTGGAAGAAAATAATATATTTTTTGCAAGTGTTGTTTGATACCTAGTAAGAAGAAAGAACTAAAAATTTATCATTAAAAACAACACAGGATTTGTATCTTAGGTTTGCTCATATTTGATATAACTAAAAGACTGAAGTTATACTATAGGGTGTCAATGGTATGCCTTAAAAGGACCCTGTTCACAAATTTATTGGCCAAAAATCCTGTGTAGGCACCATTCCATGACATCTGAACAAAACAGCACTTTTAAAGAAAGATAACTGTAAAACAGAAATTTAACAAAATATATATATATATATATATATATATATAAAATTTTCAACGAGGTAAGAAAACACACTATATTCCATGAAGAACTACTAATATTTCTCTTAATTCCGATGACACTCCCAGTGTATGTGTAGCAGATAATACAAAATTAAACTGTAAATCACCTAGATTATCAATTACAATCGTCATCTGCAAGATCTCAGGCAACAAACATAACCAGAAGAACTCCCTAAATTACCATACTACACTATTTGAAGTGTTTCATACTTCTTTCCTTAGATTGTTCAATCACTTTTCAGCCAGGTCTCAAAAGTGAAGTAGGTCACTAATGTTTTTCTCACCTACCCACATTTTGATTCTTTATTTTTTTGAGACAGAATTTCAACTATTTTTTCCAGGCAGGTCTCAAACAACTGGGCTCCAGTGACCCTCCCGCCTAAGCCTCCAGAGTACCTGGGATTATAGGTACACACCACTGCACTTTTTTTTTTTTGCGGGGGGGGGGGGGGGGGAGGGGGGCGGGACAGTCTCACTCTGTTGCCCAGGCTGGAGTGCAGCGGTGCAATCATGGCTCACTACAGACTCAAAGTCCTGGGCTCCTGAGATCCTCCCTGCTTAGCTGGGACTACAGGCATGCACCACCACACCCAGCTAATTACATTTTAATTCTTAAACACTCCATGGAACATCTTTCCTGTTTTCCTTTGGGGCAATGACCTAGCTATACAATTATTTTGTTCTCCCTACAGAGTCCAACAGTGACAACCTAACAAAATTACTTAATGAACTTAGACAATCTTAGAGACGATTTTCAAATTTTTGCTTAATTATCTAGATATCAGTGGCACCAACGGCTCTTCAGGGTTTATGACAGTGGTCATAATTCTCCTTTTGGGTATTAGCAGTCTGGCCGAATTAATTTTTGAAGATGATTGTTCTATTTACCTTCTGTTGTAGACATTACAGAGGGGATTATTCAGTGGGAAAGGAAATTAATAGTACCTCCTTTGTCAGCTTTCTTTACCATGGAGCGGGTGGAGTGTAATAAACAATAGGGAGAGAAAGCGCGTAGCTAGGAAATCTCAGCCTTTTTGGTGCTTTGTGCTTATACAGTAAGAGCTAATCTGTGCTGTCAGGTGCCTCTGGCAGGAATTCTTTGGGGACCACTCCACAAGACACAAAGTCTTGAGTGCACCCTTCCCCACTCTTGCCTACCTGCCAAAAGGTTATTTTAAAATAGCTTGTAAACAAAGCTTATCTATATAGGATTAGCAATCAGGAACTTTTAAGTATGAAGCAAAACTGTGTTCTCCAAGAATCTTTTCCATATGGTGGATCCTACATACCATAACATCGTCTCCATTTCCAATTGAGAATGGCATTTATTAAAATGTCATTACCATAACCCAGCTTTCCTTTGGTTTAGTACGTACTTATTGAGAAGGGCACTCAAACTACTGCCTTATTACTTTCCATCAGTGGCTTTTTGCAACTACAAATTACATAAATGCTTGACAGTAGACCTTTAACAAAAAAGTTAATTGCACCAAGTAAATGTCAATAATACTAAGATCAGAAAGCTATATTTTTGATTAGGCAAATTCATCTTGCAAGAAACTATCAACAAGGAAAATATTCAGTTGGTAATTTTCAGTCAGTCGGTGTGTAGAGAAATGTCATTAGCAGACTGGTTTTTAAAATTGGAGATCAGAGCAGAAATACAGCTGTGGGACTAAAACAAGTCAGCTGGTGGCAGTATTTTCTCCTGTAACCTAGGAAACAGTTAACCTCTCAAAGTACCTTTACACCCAATAACTCAAAAATGTTACTATTTGGGCAATAGTATTACTTTAAAATAGTAATTTATTTTAAAAGCACAAGATATAAAGTATGAATAGTTTATCTGTATAGGACATATGAGCATTTCTGGCGTGCTTATCCACTTAAAGTTTAATAAATTACAAGCAGAACTTGTTATACTTTGAGGTGCAGATTAACAACTGTTGATTCTCCATAAAAATGTTAAGAATGTAGTGGGTTGATTAGCTTGGTTAGGTGAATGAAGTGTTTTGAAAAATAAAATTACGGTGCAATTAGCCTGTTATGATTAATTTTTCCATAAACCAAGATTTGACATAGTACCCCAGAGGTTTTCATTATTTAAGAAAGCAGGTACTCAATAAAGCCTTGAATTTACTGTGCTTTGCTATTAAGAAAAGCAAACTTAAAGAGCCAACATTCAAGTATTTTCTGCATTTTAAAATTCAAGAAAAGGTTCTTCACCACCTTTCCCACAACGAGGCCGCTCCATTCTGATGAGATCAGATTAAGGTTATTCTCAAGGCAAAACCAAACCCAATCAAGGTACGTATATTAGATCACTTTTGAATGACAAAAGCATCAAACTACTGAAGGGTTTGGTTGGTTTAAAGAAGTGCCTTATTTTTTTGTCAACTGAGCATCGGAAAACCAGAAAAAATTGTGATTACATTATATTCAAAACTACGCATTCTGTACAAATCAAATAGTTTTAAAAGAAAAGTAATAAAACTGACCACCTATTTCCCTCAGTGAAAATAAAATGTAAAAATACAAGTATCTTATTTTCCACAGACTTCAGGGTATTTAGAACATCGAGTATTTCCATTAGTTATCCAAACTACCTTCTTCTCTATGCAACGATATTTTCCTATTAGGAGTAGCGGTCACTCAGGAATCAAAATGAGTGTTAGAAAAACTCAAATCTAGAAACCACACTTTCAACTCCTAGTCCTCTTCTCCCATGCAGAAACTGAAAGTTATATATTTAAGTACCACATAACATTAAAATCAAAGGCCATAAAAACCAAAAACCAACCCACCACACAAGCAGAATCTCAGCCCCGAGGTTAAACTAAAAAGCAAAAAAAAAAAAAAAAACAACACAAAAACCTATTCACAGCACACTGTACGCAAAATTAATTTATTTGCCTCATACATTAAAAAATCGGAATGGTGAAATTAACTACACATAAATTCAATCTTCTCAGTAGCGGAGCTAAAAAGTTTAAAGAGAAACTTTAAATTGCTTTGGGTTTACATTTTTAAAGACACGCTCAGATTTACTGAGAGAAAATATCAGAAACCGGATCTAAAACGTTAAGGCATAAAGTTTAACTAACACGTCTACTTCTTCTGCCCTTATAAACGCTAGTTCTGCAGATCGCTCATTCCACTCCAACCGACAGCTCAAGAATGGAGTCAAACAGGTACACACTAAACCTGGCATTCACTGCCGAGAGAAGCGTTCCAATTCTCCAGGGTGGAAAAAGTTGTCTGCATCAATTAGCCGACACGATTCCACTCCTTCCTTCGAGTGAAGGAATCCAGCCTTTAAATGCATCGCAGTCCACCCGACTCCCCGCAATTCCCTTTTCCGGGAAAATGGGAAACGAACGCTTTCCGTGGTGGGCGCGCCGGCCGGGCGCCGAGGCTTCGCCGGCGGTCCCCAGGCAGCGCCCCGGAAAACAAAGGGGATTCCCAGCCATTGTCCTCCGCGGCGCTGAGCATCACCAGCACTAGCAAGGCAGTAGCTTGCGCAGTTATCTCCACAGCGGGCAATGTCACAGCCCGACCAACAGCACAAACTACTACCTCAGCCAGGGCCATGGTGTCGGGGAGGCAGGGGACCACGCGGAGGGCGGCGGAGGGCAGCGAAGCGGCTCTGGCGCTCCTCGGTCCTTCCTCGCCGCCGACGTCGGCTCGCAGCCGCTGCTGTTCCTTTCCCTTCCCCGTCGCGCCACGCCGCGCCCACCGCCCAGCGCCGCGCGGCTCGCCTGCTCCCGGCGCGAACCGAGCGCTACGGGGATTAGAGGCGGCGCCGGGACCCGGGAGCTAGAACCGGCGTTCTCTACGTCAGCCACCGCTCTGAAAAGAAAAAGGCGGTGGTGGTCGGCGGAGAAAGCCGCTCCCTCCAGTGCCCCGAGGGGAGCGCGTCGCCTCAGCCGCTCGAAAGCAGAAAATGGGCGGCAAAAGCGCAGTGAGACGCCAACGGGCTTCGGACGGGCCCCCGAGAGGCAGCGAGCAGCGCTCCCGCGCTTCGCCCGCGAGGAGCCGCCGCCACGTCCCGAGCTGCGCCGCCCGCGCCCCTCCCTGCTCCGAGCCCGCGCTGGGGGCTGGGCCACGGCCGAGCCCGACACCCGGGCCCCGCCCGCGCCGCGCTGCCGCCCCCGCCGCCGGCCCGCTCTCCGCGCGGACGAACGTCGGGACGCATTCCGCAGAGGCGGCCTCCGGCCCCGCGAAACAGTAGCCGAGGCATAGCCGGGAAGTCCCCGGGCCCCCCGTTCCCCAGCACCCTTCGGGGAACTCCCGTTCAGCTCTGTAGGAGGCGAAAACAGGACAAACGAAAACCCTGAACACTGAAACCGGGGCCGGCGGTGGCCCGAGTGGCGACGGCGGCGACTCGACGCGCGCGGACAGACGACCCGTCTCGCGCTCTGCTGCTCCTGTGCGTCCGGACGAACCTTGGAGATCACTTAAGGAGGCTCGCGCGCTACTCCTCACCACGTGACCACCCCGCCAGGCCGCCCCCCGCGTCGCCATCTTACATCCGGGACAGAGGCGGCGTCTCTTTTCCCCGCCTTGGCAAGCTTCGACGTGCCACCAGAAGTCAGCCCCGAAAGGGAGACCCCCGAGTCCACGTCACCGGAGCGTGGGGCCGCGGTCCACGGCCTCCATCGCCTCAGCGGGGGAAACTGGATCCCAAACTTTTCTCGGCCTCTGCCCGCAAAGAAGATGGCGGCGCTTGCCGCCGCCTTACCGGACACGTTGTACCTTGGCCGGGGTTTGAAGTTTCCGGCACCTCCTTTCGCCTCCAGCGAGGACCCGACCGTACACGCCCCATCCGCGCGGCGTGGCCGCTGTGTTACCTTCCGCAGAAAACAGGCGGGAAAGCCGCGGCACAGCTCGCTTTAAACGCAAACTCCTGGCACGTGTGGTTTTGGCTTTTTCTTTTTAAGCCAAGTTAGAGAGGTGACTGCTATAGAGCCTCTTCTGCTTTTGGCCCAGACAATTTACGGGACTTTTTGCCCCCCTCCTACTAAGAGATTTTTTGTAGGAAGTTAGCAAATTATTTTAAAGAAAAAGTTAGGGCTTGTTAGATGCAATATAGGACGCCCAGTTAAATTGGAATTTCAGATAACCAGTTTTTTGGGGCATGTGTTACATATATTCTTTAAATTGTTTATCTGATACTCCAATTTAACTGCATTCTCTTATTTTTAATGACTACATCTGGTTCCCCCCATTAGCCTTACTCCTGAAAACCCAGACTGCTCATGCCAAAATAAGGAATGGAGGGAAATGAAAAGTATGTTAGAAAAGCAACTTATGGTTATCTTTGCTCAGACTTTGATCCCTTCATGGAGGCCAGAGGGCCATGGTCTAGAACAAAATTTGGCAGCAACGCATAAGGATATCCTTGTATAATTCCCTTTTTGGCAAAATAAGATTTTTTTTTCTTAAGCCATCACGATGTAATTTTGGACAACAGATTCTCTTGGCCAAGAGTTTCACTGAAATTTAAAAAATAACTGGCTTTTTGTTTCTATAGGCGATGAGACCCTAATAGTTTCTTAAAAGTTTTTTTTAAGTTATTTTTCTTCTTTACTCCACTGGTACCATTTTACTGTACTAAAAGTACAAGTTTCCAAGTTAAAAATCAGCCTGCCTAACATTTCATAACGATATTTTTACTTGCATATTCAGAAAGTAAAATATATTTGGTTATGCCCACTAACTGACAGATAATGTTAGGCTAATAGCCTTTTAAAGCAACTACTGAAGGTACTCTGGAAAATCCAATCAGAACCATTTCCAATTAAGAATATTTATTTATGTGAACATAATACATTTGCGATGGGCGCGGTGGCTCACGCCTATAATCCCAGCACTTTGGGAGGCTGAGGCGGGTGGATCACGAGGTCAAGAGATCGAGACCATCCTGGTCAGCAAGGTGATACCCCGTCTCTACTAAAAATACAAAAATTAGCTGGGCATGATGGCGCATGCCTGTAGTCCCAGCTACTCGGAGGCTGAGGCAGGAGAATTGCTTGAACCCAGGAAGCAGAGGTTGCAGTGAGCCGAGATCGCGCCATTGCACTCCAGCCTGGGTAACAAGAGCGAAACTCTGTCTCAAAAAAAAAAAAAAAAAAAAAAAAAAAAAATACATTTGCAATTAACTGCTTTACTTGACAAAGCAGAACCTCAGTTACCACTTACCAGAAAGTCTGTAGAAACTTCATACCATCTCTCTTTGATAAGCAAAGATTGGGCTGCCATGGACATCAACCCTCACTGCTCATTGACTGCACAGTGGATCAGATTATTCTGCACTAAAGCAAATATCCTTTGCCATAATGGCACAGATTTTTAAATGGCCATTAAACAGCTGTTTGGTCTATGGTATACAGATTTGTTAGAGCAGTAAAGTTTCCAACTAAATTCAGTCATTACACTACTTTATCACTTAGATTTCTTTCCATAATCTGTTTTTAACACTGCTAACACCAGTATACTCATCATTCACCTATAACGTATTGTTAACATCAACATTTTCTCCTCCCCTTATTCAGGAATCTTAAGTATCCTTTCTGAGTGTTACCACAATCAGTGACTCAATCCTTTATCATCAATTCATAGCAAGAAAATTGCAACAGCTTCCTACCTTAGCTTTCCATACTGTATATACTCTATCCTGCTCATGATTGCAAGTTTATCTTCCTTGGTTTCATAATTTATTCTTAAATCACTCCAAACCCCTGCTATCTCAAATCTAACATACTCTCCTTAGCTTTCAAGGAATTTTATGAAGGGACCCAATCCTTCACAGTCAACCTTGTTTCACACCACACACCATAATGTGCTGTTTTCTATTTCACAAATAAACCTTGCTCACATTATCTTTGCCTGAAACCCGCCCCATAAATCCTTTGAACTCATCCAAAATCCAGCCATCAAGACTCACTTTAAGTTCTGTCTTCACCACTGAGCTTTTTCATTTCTTTAAAAAACGTCCTCTGAATACTAACTAATAATAACCTGAACCATAGAAGACTACGTTCCCTATTTTATGATCCTATTTTGATCTGTACTTATCTTTTACTGTACTTTACATACTTGTTAAAAGGTCTGTATTCCCTGTAAAGCTGTAAACTCCATAAGGGCAGAGACTAACCCAATGCCTAACACAAAATAGGGTCTATAAAAAGTTGTTAATGATACACCAGTACTTAATTGTATATTCTTGTATCCAGTATTATTTTGTATATGTGGTTTCCTTGACTAGCTCTATAAGCACTGGAGAGCTGCAAATAGCATCCGTCACATAGAGCAAGGACCCAGCGTTATTGGCACACAGTAGATTCTTAATATTCAGCGGTTGGCCAGTAAAAGGCAAAAAATTGGTCTCTATTATGGGAAGATGTGGATTTTCTCGCCATGACTGAATGATTTGTGCCCAACGTATTTTACTTCCCTAACTACCTAGTGGTGATGATGCTCCAGGCACAGGGCTTAACAACACACTCAATTTCTAATTCTAATAAACAACTCTATGCATTAAATACCATTATTAACTCCATTTCACAGAGGACACAGATTAATTACCTTGCCCAAGGTCACACATTTAGTAACTAACAGATTTGAGTCTAAAATGTCTGGCCCCAGACTCTGGCCTCTTAACCACTATGCTGTTATTTATAACATATCTTCATAAAGCACACAACATATGTTTTAAACAGATAAAATGTTTTAAACCTGGATGAATAATAATAACCCGATGCAACTTTCAAGGTCATCATTATTTAGATGAATTTTTTTCCCCACAGTATTTGAAATTCTTTATTATGTTCAAGTATGTTTGTCCCAATGCCTAGCATAGAAACAGTAACTGCCTCAAGAGTATTTTTAGTTTATAAGTCTTGCAATTTAATGGACTGTAAAACATGAAACTATTGTAATGTAGTAGAAAGAATTGCTTTTGAAAAAGCAAGACATAGTGGTCCACCTCGACTTAAGGTGTGTGACTCTAGGCAACTCACTGCAACCCCTAATCCTTGACTTCTGTAAAATGAGAATAACTTATTTGCAAGACTACTTTGAGGATTAAAGCCCTGGCCTCAACATATTAGGTACTCTAGAAATGGTGGTTAAAATTAGGAATTAGAAAAATTATTTTAACTATGTCTAACTGCAGTACACAGAGAAATGTAGAAAATTCTTGTTTTATCCTTTCATTACATAACAACAACAAAAAAAGGAATTTTAAAGCAAATTATTTTCTTTGAGAGGCAGACAGTCTGGCATTGATATGGATAGGCAGTTTCAAAACAGCCTCACCAAATTAAAAAAAAAATGCTCACTAGATTAAAAGAATCTAATCTACATCAAGATTACATTTTTACTTGACCTAGCATTTTTACTCAAGGTTCCAAATCTTTCTTTCTATTCAGACACACTTCATGTCTTCTGATGATTGTTTCATTTTTTTTCATTTTATATATTAGTGGCTTTAATAAAGCTCAAGAACATTTCCCCTTTATTCTGTAATTTTTTTCCCCAAACTGACCATCCTAAACATATGTGATTCACTACTTATAAAGTCTTTAAACAGAGTAAGTGATGTGGAGTGTCAATAATGTTTCAGACCTAATGGTGTTGAGAAAGCAAACAAAGTATAGTCAAGAAAATAAATGACTTGTCAGATCTGAAGGTAAATGATCAAAGTGGATAGGATTTTAAGTTATAAAGAAATACTAGCATTACTGGAATATAATGACAAACCTGGAATCCTGCTTAATGGTGACTGTAAAGCAAATAACTGATCTATACAATCGCAATTATAACTATATAGCTTTCATGAAAAATGTATCCTAGACTACAAAGAAAATTTGGGTTTGAGGCTAATAGACTTTCATGATTATAATACATAACTGATACATCTCAACAACATAAAAATTGTAAGGAGAAATAATAACAACAGTGTATTACTTTCAAGAATTGTGTTGGGAACTAAAAAAGAATCTCACAAAATTAGATAAATATATCCAGTCTGACATAAACACCATATGGTAACTGCCTTAAGAGACAGGAGTTGTATGTTATGTGTTAAATTATGACACAGAGGTAGCAGTAAGAGATGGAAAGCAAATGAAATTTGCACAGTTGGGTCTGAAGCCCAATATTTTATTTTTCTAGATAAAAATAAAATTGCAATATTATAGCTATGGAGATTTTTTTCTCCCGTCTAGTAAAACTTCATAGAAGGAGGCAGTTGTTAATGTATTGCAATAATTTTTCAAATAATGGCAGATCTTCCCTGGCTGCACTATTTATTTAATTTTAGTTTAAAATAAAACTTAGTGTAATGACATTCACAGCAACTGAAAATGGTCTCAAATATAATAATCTTTTCATACTTGAGGGGCTAGAATCAATACCACAGTATAATTAGGAATGTTTCAATTGACCTTTGGGTGAACTTTAAGTACCAAGTACACAGATAACAAATACACCCTACAAAGACTCAGATATGAGAACTATAAGATTCTAGGTCCTCCATCAAATACTGCTTTGCAAAAGAAAAATGAATATAGTTGAAATACATGGGCAATAAGCTGCCTCAAATCCTTCCTGTAAGTAGGCAGTGTTAATATTACAAATCAATAAATATTAAGATGGCATAAATCTAAAATAGTTTAAAGCATCTGCCTCAGAAAACAAAGATCTCCCCCACCCCCCAAACTCATTAAAAAAAAAAAAAAATCCTAATTAAAAAAATTTTCTTGGCTGGGCATGGTGGCTCACGCCTGTAATCACAGCACTTTGGGAGGCCGAAGCAGGCAGATCACGAGGTCAGGAGTTCAAGACCAGCCTGACCAACATGGTGAAACCCGGTTTCTACTAAAAATACAAAAATTAGCTGGGTGTGGTGGCATGCACCTATAATCCCAGCTACTCAGGAGGCTAAGGCAGGAGAATTGCTTGAACCTGGGAGATAGAGGTTGCAGTGAGCTGAGATCATGTCACTGCACTCCAGCCTGAGCAGCAGAGAGAAACCCCATCTCAAAAAAAAAAAAAAAGAAAGAAAGAAAGAAAGAAAAAAAGAAAAAGGAACTAGAGTTAGAATCTTGCTATGTTGTCCAGGCTAGTATCAAACTCCTAGCCTCAAGTGATCTCCCACCTTGGCCTCCCAAAGTGCTGGGATTACAGGTGTGGGCCACCATTCCAGCCAAAACGCTCATTTAAACAGGATTTAAATACTTTGAGAAAAGATGTATAATCTCTCTATTCACATCACAAAAAATATGATTGTTACCAATTTAGATGCTGAATCCATCATATTTATAGCAATCCCATTTTGTGGGCATCTTGGATGCTGAATCCCATGTATTCATAAAGACAGTAGGAGTTACAATCACAAATTATTATTTTTTATTTTTAGTTTTTCATGGCACTTCCAGTTTTTGGAACAAATTACTTTAACTTGTTCAGCTACTTCAAAATGGCATGGGAACTTTATCTTACAAAAACGCAACATTGGCCAAAGGGGAAAGTATTTCTAGAATCTCGTTTAATAGAAAGGCAATGAGTAGTAAAGGCTCCACTTCTTAGGAAGAAGGAATAGGCACAATTAGAGAAAGAGCTGAAAGAGAAGAGGCAGAGAATGAAAGGGGAAAGAAAAGAGAAAAATATAGAATCAAATATAGAATGAAAAGAGAAGTAATGTAAACATAAAGTTTAACAAGAAAAAAACATAGAAGAGGGAGGGAAGAAAGTGATGTCAAAGAAAAAGGAAGAGAAGTAGTTAAAGATCTCTCATGATAAATTTATCAAACTTGAATAATTACCCTAATTTCATTATAAAATCAACTCCATACTCAAATTATGCATTTTTTCCTCTAAAGAATTAGTAACTCATTGATTATCATCTTTGTTTAGAAATAAGGAAAAAACTTTGAAAAGTCAACATGTCTAGAGTTAAATAAAAGGTAGAGTCTCTGCTCATCATTGCCTCAGAAATGAGATGACCAAGAATATTCATATAGGACTTGCCATATGTTCTTTTAAATAGCCAACACTGTTAAAGCATTAGAAATTATTGGATTTGTAAGACATTTAACCTCTTCTGAAATGGTCTGCATCAAGATACAAAGACATTATCTTTCTTTCTGATTCTGTAAACACTTTTCATTCAAATGAAAGCACTATTTTACTTTCCAGAGAAACAAAAACTTTAATTCAAGTGATCGTGAAGTATTAAAGACTTTTCCCACTTTATATAAATTGGTAAAATACTATGTGGTATGAACTCTCATTCTTCTCATAATTTTGCAAAGCAAAATTCTCTCTAATAACATAGATAAATACAACCCAGAAACACTAAGCATAGTAAAATGTGATACCTTATACAAGATCAGCATATCTGCCAAAATGCCAAACCTAAGTGGAAATCTAACGAACATAACCAGCTGCTGACAGTGCTTTCAGAGACCATTTTTGTCTACATCTCTGGTAGTTTTCTATGAAAAACTGTAATCCACAATATTCTGGGCCTGCATACTGCCTCCATTCCACGGGTGGCACAGTTAGGAGCTCCTGTAAGTGTTCTGCCTTGGCTACACAGACTTCATCTACAGCAGTCTCTTAAAAACATGGTTGCCCATCTAAATTATTATACATTTGGGGAGAAAATACTAGACATTATAAAATAACTGCCCTTAATTGACACAAATATAATAATGATCACCTCATTAAGAATATACTTTTGAGTTATTTTCTAACAGTGTTCCATAACTTATGCTAACTCATCCTTAGTTTCATAACTGATGATCCTTTGGCCCAATGGTTACCTGGTACCAAATTTTGACAAAAAAACCAAAATACTCTTTAAAATATATTGAGAAAGGACAAATAATCTAGTTATTATTGGCCTACTGTAGAAATAATTTAACTGAATATTATTCTCCAGAATAAAATATCTACACTGAATTTTCATCTCTTTCTTCTGATGATACATACAAATTTAAGAAGTATAACAAGAGTTGAATTGATAACCATATACAGGAAAAACAAGAAACAAGAGATATGTTAGCTGTTAAGTGAATAAAAATTAAAAATGAAAGCAAGTAAAAAGTGGTTCTCTCTAAGCCAGACTTTATGCCTTTTGTTTTGGAACCTAAAAGGCTTCTACTAAATAAATGTTATAAATTTATACAGTAAAATTGACAAAACCTTGACACTAGTTATAAAGAAATACTAAAGACATTACAAAATGATTTATTTTTTTTCCCTTGGCAGTGTTAACATTATAGGAAACTAAGAAGTAATATATGCAAGTTAACAATTAGCTTAATTCCTTTATAATGGACAAATTATGGACAGAAAAATGCTTTATGAATCATACAATTGTTGGCATATACCTGTTGTATAAGACAGGCACTGTCAGTGACAACAAGTGATGACGTAAGGCTTAAAACTCTATTGGCCAGGCATGGTAGCTTATGCCTGTAATGCCAGCACTCTGGGAGGCCAAGGCGGGCAGATCACCTGAGGTCAGGAGTTCAAGACTAGCTTGGCCAACATGGTGAAAACCCCCATCTCTACTAAAAATACAAAAAAAATTAGCCAGGCATGGTGGCATATGTCTGTAATCCCAGCTACTCGGGAGTCTGTGGCACAAGAATCACCTGATCCTGGGAGGTGGAGGTTACAGTAAGCCAAGATCATGCCACTGCACTCCAACCTGGGCAACAAAGCGAGACTCCATCTAAATTGAAACAAACAAACAAACAAACAAACAAAAACAAAAACAAAAAAAACCCTCATAGTATTTCTAGTAAGTATCCCAAAGGACAGACATTTTTACGTCTGTTTCAAGGGCTGGTTATAGAATCAATTGTGCTATAAAATAATCTTATCTTTGAGAGCTTCCTTTTTGAATCTCCTGGTATCTAATAATTTCACATACTCAAGTTCTAATGGTCACTAAAGAACCCAATTTATACTAACAAGACAAGGGCAATGTGTTCCATACCAGCAATCAGAGTATTTTAGAAAATGCAACCTAAAGGAATGTTTGACTCAAGCGAATGAATTACAGAAGTGACTCTTGCAGGGTAACAGGAAATATTCTAGAGGAAAAGTCTGTCAAATTATACTACCAAGAGGGCCGCCCAGTTGCTCCACACTAAGACTGGCATTGATTACCTTATTATATGGCAATAACATATTCACTATGTTTATGTTTTGAACTGTAGGGCATGGTCCTGATAAAGAATGCTAATGCAGTATTAGCTCAAATTACTCTGCTCATATAAATGCATATTGCATACACTTGACTCATATTTAACTATTTAATTATCCTAATTGCAACTGATCTGTTACTTCTCAAGAATAGACCATTTTCCTTTGAAAAAATGCATGGCAATATTTTTAACATGTTACTGAATTGGTACACTACCCTTGGGTTATTCTGTTTCAATGCTTATCAGTGATTATGTGGATTTTTCTAATCCTCAATTTAACATACCCAAAGATAGAAAATAAGTACACAGCTTGAATTTTTTTGTACAACTTTAAGGAAAATGCTGAAAGCAGAACTTATGAAATGCCACATTTTACCTTAATTTTAGGTGAAATAATAGAAATTCATTAACTCATGTAAATAAAAATATCCCCTCAAATGAAGACCTTACCACATTTTTACAGATCATAGTGCAAATTAAATAATTATACAATTATGATAGCCTCAAAACTGTATCTCATTCATGACTCAATTCTAATATCTTTTTGCAGTTTTATGATTATTCTGGAGAAGCTCAAATTAATAAATTCTATTAAGATCAAACGCATTCCAATATACTAAAATAATACCAACACCATTATGATTTCTTATGAATAATCATTGTTTTAAACATCTTTGTGTCTTCACATAAATTATGACAATTTAACTCAGAAGAAAAATATTATAATCCATTAAATAAAAAATACAGTGAGCTAGGTCAAAGTCAGTATTTTAAGAAATAATTAAGGTATTGTACTCAAGAGCACTTTTCTTTTTCACTAGGATAGGAAGTGAAACATAATTAGCATTTTACTCCATGACAGCAAGTTCACTGCACTTTTAAATGCTTGACTATCTCCAAAAATACACTTTTCATTGTTTTATAATACACACATATTTTATACTTGTGAGTTAACATAGGTATTTTTCTTCTTGAGAAGACATTACAAAATGAAGCACTGAAATGAACAAAACCTCACAGGCAAAATTTTAGAAAATCTGAAATCATCTTGCCTGGGTCATAATTCAAAGACAGTGACAAATGTTGTCAGGGGAAACAAAATCAGTAGAAATATAAAATATGAAAAGTCTTTAAAATTCAGACAGCAAATATAAAAATCAGACAGACTTCAGTGAAAGCTTGGAGAGCTGTTTAAAGAAATGAGGTATGATGAAGTCAAAGTGCTACAATATATATCAATGTATTAATAACCTATATTTTGAAGTTGCAAAATCAGCAAATCATAAACTATTTGCTGCTGTGTTCACATGACCTTACTGGTCAGATGTTTAATGGTCACTAATATACAAGCATGAGGCTAACTGCATGATCATATAGTGAGCTTATCTGCCACATAAGAAGGCAAATTATAAGTGAAAACATAAGCAAACAATTTTGTATTAATAATAAATAGAGCTTTAAGCATTTAACATTATCGATACTTTTAAAATTTAAATAAATGCAACTATTTTATACAGAACTGTACCATTTATTATACACACAAGTATATCAGTTCCCTTTGTTAATAAAGGCTGGTTATAGATAATATGGAATGTTACAGTACCATCTTGCATAAAATTCTAGTACGATTTTGTACTTGAAAAAGGTTGCAAAAACACCAGCCTAATAAATCTGACTGAAGTATCTCTTCTTTCTTTTTAAAAAGTACATCATTAACAGATACACCACAAACTGTACATAAGCTCACTTTAAATCACCAACTGGAGATATAGTAGCATGTATACTATAGTATTAATTATCCATCCCATCAGTTTAATTTATTAAAGGCTTGCACTGCTACTCATTCAGGGGCCTTTGTTGATGTGCAAGCTTGTAATATGAATTACTGAACTTAGGTACGTAGAATCTAAAGGAGGCCAACAACAGCTGCCAAGAATTATTTGTAGTAAGAAATGTCCTTCCCACAGAAGATTCAGTTAGGAACAAACATTTTTTAGAATATCTTTCTTCTTTCAAATATACTGTAGCTGGTCAAGATTCTCCATTTTGAACTCTGGATGCTGGTGGTTGCATGAAATCCTTAAAGGGAACTAGTGCTTCTTTAAGTGCAGAGCAGACTTCTGAAGAAGAGCAGGTGATGCATTCTACTAAAGTTGGGTATAAGGCAATTACTTGTGCCCAGGTATTTCCATCAACTGTAATGCAAAGGTATAAAACCTCAAAAGAGTGAAATTAAATAGCAGAGATTATTCAATTAACATGAACACAATCCTTTAAACTGAATGTAAAGAAAAAATTCTGAAATATGAAGATTCTACAAGCTTGTATCTTTTTAATTTTTGAAGGATTTCCTGCTATATTTATTAAAGTATGAGAAAAATACATGCTTAGTGTGCAGTCATTAGTAACAATAAACTTGATTAAGTACATTTTAAATGGTATTTCAATTTGCAAAGGCTCTGAAAGCTAACGAAGTCATTCAGAATAATTCAAACCTTTATCATTTTTAGTATAATTGCCAGAGGATGCAGTGTACATTTCAAGCATTAGAAAATAACTTTTCAGTTGTCTGCTAAAAGTAGAAATATTTTGAAATACAAATTATGGTCAATGATTTAGTAATATAATTATAAATTGTAACAAATAGATCCATTCTTGTCTTGTACTGTTTGCTGATGTTTAATGTACATCACTAGATATAGACTTGAGTGGGAAGGAACCATGCCTGCCTTCCTCACCACTATCATGAACAAACAGTACAGCTGAATGCTACTGTTACTGAATGGACAAAAGTATATCCAAATTGGTTATATTTTCCTATAAGTATTGTGCATAATGTGGGGCAACCAATATGAAAGATAGTTTTTAGACATTTAGATATTTTAAAAATTTTGTGAAACAAGTCTCAAATCATGAGTGGTATTATAGTACTAAAGAAAAACAAATACTATGTGTGAAGACCTTTGATTCTGTTTTTCACTTCAATTTACTGGGTGTCAGTTGCCTAAAATTCCTTCTGAAATAAGAATGATGGGTGTCCCTGATCAAGTCATTTAATTTGTCTTTATCTCACTTCTTCCAATGTAAAATAAAGAAATGAGTTTCTCAAACTAGTGTTCCTCAATTTGCTTCCTAGGAAAAAGCTCATGATAAAGTAGTTCGGATGTTGCCTATCTCTCACCTTTTGGAGACTAATTATTCATACTAATTTATTAAGGGCTTATAGTAAAAGAACAGATTTAAATTAACCCACTGTTCCCAAAATTAATTTAATTATGGAATTTTTTTCCATTCAATATCTACTGACATCACACGTGATCAATGTTCGTGCCTTAGTACATATCTTGAAAAATGCTATACTGTTAATTTAACCTCTTTTCCCAAACAGGGGCTTCCTCAGGGTGGGTGTGATAAGAAGAAGTGGGGAATAGGGCTGATGGGTGTTGCTGGGGATGAGGAGTCAGGCTGGAGCTGTTCTGCTTTTCGCTGTTTTAGTATGTTGGAAATTCACATCACATTTCATTTGTAAAAAGTATTTTGCTGCTTAACAGAATACAAAAGTCTAAAAGCCACTGTCTAAGAAGTTTAAAAAAGTCTGCTTCAGTTGTCTCCTGTGAAACTTTACAGTAATCATTTAACAAAATATTAGGCAGATTTAAACCTATCTAGGTTGTCCCAGATGGAGAGTCAATTGACCAAATGAATCCTTGATTTATCACGACAAAACACAAAAGTACATTAAGATGGCATCTCAAAGGAAGCTATTCAAATTTCTTAAAATATGTTTTAGGCTGGTACGGTGGCTCATGCCTGTAATCCCAGCACTTTGGGAGGCTGAGAGGGCAGATCATCTGAGGTCAGGAGTTTGAGACCAGCCTGGCCACCATTGTGAAACCCCATCTCTACTAAAAATACAAAACTTAGCCAGACACAGTGGCGGGCATCTGTAGTCCCAGCTATTTGGGAGGCTGAGGCTGAAGAACTGCTTACACCTGGGAGGTGGAGGTTGCAGTAGGCTGAGATCACACCACTGCACTCCAGCCTGGGCTATAGAGCAAGACTCCATCTCAAAAAAACAGCAACAACAAAATATATTTAATATATATTAATATACTTAAATATACAAATATAAATATATATATTTAAATATATAAATATAATTATGTATTTAAAATATAAATATATTAAACATATTAAAAATATATAAAAGTATATAAATGTATATGTATTTAGTATATATAAATATAAATATATAATGCTTTTAAAAATACTTTTGTGAGGACTTGAGGACTTTGGAATTAACTATCAAAAAGAATAAAAAAGCTGGGGGCCGGGCGCGGTGGCTCACGCCTGTAATCCCAGCACTTTGGGAGGCCGAGGTGGGTGGATCACAAGGTCAAGAGATCGAGACCATCCTGGTCAACATGGTGAAACCCCGTCTCTACTAAAAATACAAAAAATTAGCTGGGCATGGTGGCACGTGCCTGTAATCCCAGCTACTCAGGAGGCTGAGGCAGGAGAATTGCCTGAACCAGGAGGCGGAGGTTGTGGCGAGCCGAGATCGCGCCATTGCACTCCAGCCTGGGTAACAAGAGCGAAACTCCGTCTCAAAAAAAAAAAAAGAATAAAAAAGCTATATGAATTGATAAGAATCTTCATCGTATTTTGTCAAATGAAAAAAAAAGAGGTTCAGAACAATATATATGATTTGGGGCTATCATGCATATTCATTTTGGTACAAAATAAGGATGGAGGAGTATTAGAACCTGTATTTTGTATTTAGATAATAACCTTCTGGAGGGATCCACAAACTAATAAAAATGGTTGTCTGTGGGTAGATAGAGAATAGGGAAAAGATCAAACTAAAACTTTCCCTGTATATCTTTTTACAGTTTTGGATTTTTGGACCGTGTATATGTATACTACCTATTTAAAATTTTAAATAAAGATCAAGTAAAATGATAAAAACAAAATCTCGGCTGGGGGGCAGTGGTTTGCAGATGGCTTGAGCTCAGGAGTACAAGACCAGCCTGGCCAACATGGCAAGACCCTATCTCTATCAAAAATACAAAAAAATTAGCAGGGTGTGATGGCACATGTCTGCAGTCCCAGCTACTTGGGAGGCTAAGATAGAAGGATCACTTGAGCCCAGGAGTGAAGGCTGCAGTAAGTACAAATCACTCCATTGCACACCAGCCTGAGGGACAGAGTGAGAGTCTGTCTCAAAACAGAAAAAAAAACCCAAAATCTCCCCAAACAAAAATAAGTCTAACAAATCCATCTACTCTCACAAAAAAGCCCCAGAACAAATAATGAAGTCTTTTTTCTTAATGAAGCTTACTACAGCATTTCAAATGTTATATCATCATCATGTTATATGCTTACATTCAATTTAAATTTTCACTTCACAGACCCAGAGACATAATCCCAACTCTATTAAACAATTTTTAACATTCATTTAGTTAGATCATCTATTACTACACTGCCTTATCCATATAACCTATTGGTTTTTTTAAAAAAGTTACTGAGTTTTTGCTTCCTTTTCTCCCTTTGTACACATTCTGGTTCTTTAAAAAAAAAAAAAAAAGGAGAGAGAGAGAGAGAGATGGGGTCTGACTACATAGTCCAGGATGGTTGCAAACTCCTAGGCTCAAGCAATCCTCCCACCTCAGGCTCCCAAAGTGTTGGGATTATAGGCGTGAGCCACTGTGCCAGCCCAGAACACTTTTTTAAGAAAACCCAAATCTGAACTCTAAAGGGATAAATTCAGGACATTGCCCCAGGCTTTTTCTTAGAAATTCCACCCATCTCTTTGGGTTGTATAAATACAAGTGTACTGCCTCTTAAGATTTATTATAATACCCTTTCTAGGCCAAAGTACCAATGAATATACTTTAACAAAAGAAAAATATGTATTTACTCCACTTACGTAATAGATGACAGGAACAAATATCCTACAACTCATTAATTATAATTTACTAGGAATCTCCTTTTTTCTTGGGTATTATAAAAGTAATGCTCCTTAAGGTGCCAGTCTGCTACAAAATAAGAAGCTTGTGCCAGAACGTAAACCAACACACTGCTTTCTTTAGCAATGTCTTCTTGCATAAAAAAAAGTGCCCGATGAACCAAGCAGTGTGTTTAGTGACAATCGATTTATATTCTGATGCTAGCTCTCTATCTTGTCCTGGATCAGTACAAACTCTTTAAGTCAAATCAATGGCTGGTCCAACAAACCATACTTAGAAAAGCAATGCTTAGAGGATTCAAAACAGAACAAAATATGGTCTGAAAAGCCTCTCAAAGATCTTAATCTCTCCTCTTAACATTTAAGGGGAAGTGAGTCATGTATATGCACAACTGTAGTACAAATAAGAGTGCTTCGAGACAAGTATGCGTAAAAAAGCTTTGAGTTAAATGAAAAGACAGATTATTTACCTTTAAGAGATTAAAAACAAGATTTAAAAGTAGGGTGGTATTCCAAATAGGCTGATACAAGCAGGATAATGGAATAAACAAAAGGCTGGAAAAACTTGGGAAGACTGAGAATATTAGTTTAGTGGATAGTAGGGGGAATGAAGTCTGTTGTGGGTTTAAATAAAGTGTGACTAGAATGAAGTCAGATTGCAGTATTCTTTGCAATTTGGTAGGAAATGGTAAATGAAAAACACTTTTTTGTTTTGAGAGGGTGAGGAAATAAATAATCAAAGCCCTACTATAAAAAAATCATTTCCAGCTATCATGTAAAAGGTGGACTGGACAGGAATGAATAACAGAAAGGGCAAACAAATGGGAAAGAATGATAAAAAATGATTCCAAGTTACTTGTACAGTTTGTATCTATAAAGTAAATCAGTACAACTGGAAGATAAAGCCCTTTTTCCACCTCTCTCCAAGTAAGTACATAATCTTCTACATTAAAATTGTATGAAATACAGATTGTTCTTGCAATACCCTGACTTCAGAACAACTTATTAAAAAAAAAGTCAGGTAAACTGTTCCATAAAAAATGAAAACATTACAGATTAATTTTACTTAATTGACATCCTAATGAACTTGATGCTTTGTTGTCATGAGAACTGGAGGAAAAAAGTCTAATGACTATTAAGTTCATATAATTCAGTTAACAAATAGAACATAAATATTATGAATTTAGAATAACTGAGTTTCTAAGCACTTACCATTCTCAGGCTGAGTTTTCTTAAGTGAATCAATAAGAGTACTGACTGCTTTTAAAACAAATATAATTTCTGTTACTTGTTGCCTAAAAAAGAGACAGGAAATCATTTCCATTAAGATTTTTAAATTGTCTGTTTTTTTTTTTTTTAAACGAAGTTTGTACAAATAGACAAACTTTGGAAAAATACTGAACACAATACAACGCAAAATTAACATTAGTTTTAAATTCCTATAAAAGTAAAAATCATTTTATTAAAATGTAATTCAGTGTACATATCAAATTTATAGTTATTATTGCCATAACTTATCAATTACTAAAGGGGTGAGGCAATCTACTCATGAAAAACTAAATTTATTTGTAAGGTATTTCAGATATTACTTAAAATATTTGATTTTTACTTATTTATTTTTTGAGACAGGGTCTTGCTCTGTCACTCAGGCTGGAGTGCAATGCTGAGATCATAGCTCACTGCAGCCTTGACTTGGGCTAACGTGATCCTCCCACTAAGCCTCCTGAGTAGCTGAGACTACAGGTACATGCCACCTTGTCTGGCTAATTTATTTATTTATTTTTAAGTAGAAACAAGGTCTTGCTATGCTGCCCATGCTGGTCTTGAATTCCAGGGCTCAAGTGATCCCCCTGCCAAGTGATCCTCCTGCCTTGGTCTCCCAAAGTGCTGAGATTAGGCATGAGCCACTGTGCCCTGCCCTTAAAACATTTTATAATATATGCTTTTGAAACGTTTCTACAAGTTTTTTTTTTTTAATACTAATTAGTACTAACGAGATTTGCTAAAGCTTAAACGGAAACAGAGACTACTATTACCACATGGCATATATTTTACCATGCTGTTACAAATACATTCAAAATTACAGTGGTACTTTTGGACCATTTCTAAATACTACAAACAAGAAACATGGTACAAATCAATCCTAAGGTAGCATTATTTGGAGACATTAGCAAAGAACAAACTTGGAGTAAAGGGTCAACAAGAGTAGCTTGATTCCCTTCTTTTTCCTGATAGAAACAAAGTTCTTCTGCTCTATGGCCTGCCCTCAACCCTCCCCATTCCTGGTGTGTATCTGTGTTATCATTCTACAGATAAGACTTTTCTAATACCACGTCAGGATACTATTTTAAGACTTCCTGTTGTAAGCATTTAAGTATTTTACTGTATTGCAATGCAGCTTTTTAGAAAACAATTTAATGATACTGCAACAAATACAGAATGATACAATATAACTTCACAGGACAATTATTATAAATAAGGTTCAATTTAAAGGCTAGTTAAAAAGTAAAACTTTACAACATTGAAAAATAAAGTGAAAGTTGCTTTCTGAAATCAAATAATTTATAATATATAAATATATTCTAAAAATATTCCCCTCAAATCAACCTTATTACCACATTTCCAAGTATACTTCAGAAATCAATTTTGAATCACACCCATAACCAAATTACTAACATTTGTCTTTGGAGTGTTTTGTGTATACATTTGAGTATGAGGAGTTGTAATTTATGTTCTAGAAATTCAAAATGCACTTGTCCTAAAAGAAGAAATACAAATAGCTAATATGCATTGATAATTAAAAAATAAAAGCAGCCGGGTACGGTGGCTCAAGCCTGTAATCCCAGCACTTTGGGAGGCCCAGGCGGGTGGATCACGAGGTCAAGGGATCGAGACCATCCTGGTCAACACAGTGAAACCCCGTCTCTACTAAAAATACAAAAAAAAAAATTAGCTGGGCATGGTGGTGCGTGCCTATAACCCCAGCTACTCGGGAGGCTGAGGCAGGAGAATTGCCTGAACTCAGGAGGCGGAGGTTGTGGTGAGCCGAGATCGTGCCATTGCACTCGAGCCTGGGTAACAAGAGAGAAACTCCGTCTCAAAAAAAAAGAAAAAAGAAAAAAATAAATAAAAAATAAAATAAAATAAAATAAAAGCAAACTACCATATGACTATTTTTCATTCATCAAATTAGAAAAAGATAAATGATAAACTAGTAAATAATTTAAAAATGCTTAAACATTGAGGAAAGGAACATTCCTGGGAGAATGTAAACTGGTATAAATCTCTATTAGGAAATTTCTTTAATGCATATCAAAAGCTATAAAGTGTCTGTGTCTTTTGACAGGTCAATTCCAACTTCAGAAATTTATTATGATTAAAACGTGCACAAAGATTTAAGACTGGTGATTTGCCTCTCCAATGGCACCTTATGAGATGGGAACAACGATTTTCGTCTTTCCTGACTTCGATAACTTTGTTTTCCCACGTTGTTTTCTGTTTGCTTCATTTGCTATGCCTGAAATGCTAATTTCACATTAAAAAAGTAGATTTGCAACCTAACCCTAATTTATGACTGCATCCTTTGTTGAATTCTGGACTGTACTCCAACTTTGACTATCCTTGGCTGACCAGAAAAGCCTAGTGCTTCTTTCACTGACATAGCTTGAATAATGAGAAAGAAGTCAGGTTAGGTCCGTGGGCTTAATTAAATTAGCCCACGGATTGGATGAAAAGACTACCTAAGATCAGGCTAGCTGACAGAGAGAGAAACCTGCAAATGACTGTAAAACAAACTAGGATGTTCTAAAAATACTATTTATTTATGATTTTCACTTCACAGAAATAATATCATGTATTCATACAGATTCACAAGTCCTTATCTAGAAACCTCTGGGAGAAAATGTATTTTTGAATTCAGTTGTTGCTGTTTCTTTTAAACTCAAAAAGGTAATTTGGTACCTATATATCATGTTACATAACCCCCATGAGGAGTCTAAAAAAGTACCTCATAACAAAACATGTTAATATATCTGCAGCAAAACCTGTGAATATTTACACCATATGGGATAAATAAAATTATAAACAACTTCAGCGTAGTTCAGATCACTTACAAAAATACTTGCTTTTCAGAACTTTCCTTGTTATTAACAATTAGCACATCAGTACATTTATTTCCTTAATAAAATGAAATATATACCTTGGAAGAGGGCATTTACCGCTTAATCTTTCATCCTCTATATAGCGACGTAGTACATCTTGGGACCTCTTTAAAAGAACTGAGAGTGCCATTCGTGAGATGTAGCCTTCTTGAGGTGTTGTGACTTTATTACTGAAGGAAAACTGAAGCAATGTTTCGAAACACATTTTAGAAAATTCTTCTCTCAAACGAATATCAATCTCTGCTTCTGTAAAATTAACAAATTTTGATGGTTAATAAAAGTTAAATCAATGAGCCTAATGATAACAATGCTTAGCAAACCAGGAATAGAGGAAAATTCCTCAATCTGGTAAAAGACATCCAGAACAATCTATAGCTAATAGCATACATATAGAGAAATTGTGTGTGGGGTGTGTGTGTGTGTGTGTGTGTGTGTGTGTGTTTGTGTGTGTGTGGAGATAAAGAAACAAATTCCCCCCCACAAGATAAAAAAACGAGGCAAGATCTCATTACTTCTATTCAACATATTTCTTATCGTGGTCTTCCTAAAGCCTACAACAGTACTATAAAATATACTTCACAATAGTTTTTCATACGGTCAAACTTGCAATAATCTCTTTTTCCCTGTCCTAGCAACATCTTTCCTGAAAAATGACCTCTGCTCCAGTATGGAGTTGCTCTCTAGACACGCTGTTCTGCTATATCCTGAAACTAGTCTTTGCCATCACCCTGGAAATTGTTTCCATTCTCTCTTGAGTTAGATCCCACTTCCAAGATCCCATGCCTTCTTTTTCCTTGGTTTACTCCTTTATTTTCACTGAGCATATTTTGAAGTAGCTTCCTAAGAAAGAATGAATGAGAAGTAAAACTTTGAGAGCATGTACCTCTGAAAATATCATATATTATGATACTCAAAAGTGTACGCTGCAGCATTAGCATTATCAGAGAACTTGTTAGAAATGCAAATTGACATGCCACCCAGTCTTACTCAATCAGAAATACTGGGGGTACAACTCAGCAACTGCTTGTCATCTGGTTGATTATGATGCATGCTGAAATTGGAGAATTACTGTTCCACACTCATACTTGGCCAGCAGTATGAGTTTTAACATGGAGCTCCATGTTAAAAGTCCTTTCCATTTACAACTCTAAAACCACTGCTTCAATGTCTTTTAGCATTCAATACTGCCTCAAACAGAATTCCAATCCCTCTTTTTTTTTTTTTTTTTTTTTTTTTTTTTTTTGAGACAGGGTCTGCCCTCTGTCACTCAGACTGAAGTGCAGTGGAGCAATCTTGGCTCACTGAAACCTCTGCCTCCCAGGTTCAAGTGATCCTCCCACCTCAGACTTGAGTAGCTGGGATTATAGGCATGCACGACCAAGCCTGGCTAATTTTTATATTTTTTTAAGTAGAAAGAGGGTTTCACTGTGTTGGCCTGGCTGGTCTCAAACTCTTGACCTCAAGTAATCTACCCACCTTGGCCTCCAAAATTGCTGAGATTACAGGCATGAGTCACTGTGCCCAGCCTCCAGTGTCTTTGTATTGAACTTTTTTTTTTTTCCTGAATTCTTTTAAGGTCTTCTCTTTATTCCAGGTATTCTGATATTTCATAATGACATGCCTGATATGGGTCTTTTTTCTTTCACTGTTTTTGGTACTATTTTTAATCTGGAGGTTTTTTTTTCTTCAGTTCTTCAGTTTATTTCTTTGATAATTCCTTCTCTTAGATTTTCTTTGTTCTCTCTTTGTCAGATGTTAGGCTCCCTGGATTCATTTTCCTTCTCCTTTCAACCCTTCACTGAACTTGTCATCACATCTTTAGTTTCTATTAGTTTTTTCTTGTCTTGTTTTTTTGTTTCTGAGACAGTCAGTCTGTCACCCAGGCTGGAGTGCAGTGGCATGATCACAGCTCATTGCAGCCTTGTTCTCCCGGGCTCAGGTGATCCTCCCATCTCACCCTCCTGAGTGGCTGGGACTATAGGCATGCACCATTTCACCCAGCTAATATTTGTATTTTTTGTATAGATGGAGTTTTGCCGTGTTGCCCAGGCTGGTCTCAAACTCCTGGACTCAAGTGATCCTCCTTCCTCAGCCTTCCAAATGCTGGGATTACAGGCCTAAGCCACTGTGCCCAGCCTTCTCTTTTTCTATTGCTCCTTTTATATGGCATTTTAAAAATTGTTTCAAGGGTGTAAAGAGTTTATCTCTTTTTTTTTTTTTGAGACGGAGTTTCGCTCTCGTCACCCAGGCTGGAGTTCAATGGCGCGATCTCGGCTCACCTCAACCTCCGCCTCCTGGCTCAGGCAATTCTCCTGCCTCAGCCTCCTGAGTAGCTGGGATTACAGGCATGCGCCACCATGCCCAGCTAATCTTTTGTATTTTTAGTAGAGACAGGGTTTCACCATGTTGACCGAAATGGTCTCGATCTCTTGACCTCATGATCCACCCACCTCGGCCTCCCAAAGTGCTGGGATTACAGGCTTGAGCCACCGCACCCGGCATAAGAGTTTATCCCTTTGATCATCCTAACTGTGGTTTTATGTTTTCAGTGGCTCTGCATTTTATCTGTTTCCTCCCAATTTCTTTTATTCCCTTTCATTTGTTTCGGTCTTTCTCTTTTGTGTTAGAGAATTTCCTCAAATGTCTGTGAGCTCTGTCAAGTCATACTTAAAAGTGAAAGACCAATCATCACTGGAACTTCTGTGTTTACGTGTTAGCCTTGTTTAGCAAGAAACAGCTTTCTATGTGTATATTTAAGGAAAACTCCAAGTTTTTTTAAATGAAAACTACAAACTTTATTTATCAACATAAGCTCAATCAAGTTCAAGACACTTTTGTAAGCAATGATACCAGCCATTTAGTTTATCCATAAAGAACTGAGGTCCTGGGAATTTAACTATGTCAATGCTGTCTTTTTTAGATTATTAACTTAAGAAAAAGGCTGTCCTTCAATGGTTTTTTAAGATCTGAAACAAAAACAAACCAGAAGGAGCCACATCACAACTGTAAAGTGAATGCCTAATGATTTCCCATTGAAACTCTTGCAAAATTGCCCTTGTCCGATGGGAGGAACGAGCAAGAGCATTGTTGTTTGTGGTGGTAAAGGACTGTTGTGTGAAGCTTTCCCACGTGTTGGAAAATTCCCAATTAATGCTGAAAAGATGTGTGTCCTATGGGCAAGTCACAGAAAGAATGTCCACGCACCTCTCTTGTCTTGGTAAATTTAACACTATAAACAGCAAGATATTAGAAAACTGCCAGGAAAAGTATACTTGGTAACTCAGCAGCCCTTATTTAACTTAGAACTTTTATATCTAATTGTGAATACTGTTCTTAATGTGTATTTTATTAAAATTAACTAAATATTTTCATATACTCTTAATAATAAAAAGTTGGCTATGTCAAGATAAATGGGCTTTAAAATTATCCCTGAGATTCTCATGTTTGCTAAACCTGCACTTCACCAGGCCAGTTTTAAAAACTGCTTGTGCTAGAAAAAAGAACTAGTGTGTGAAGTAAGCAGTATGAGAGACATCTAGTGGTCAAACTGTACACATAAAAGCTCTTTAAAATGCTCAGCACAAAACAGTAGAAGCTAGTCAAGGCTCTAGTAACTTCTGAGGATTAAGGATTTGCATGGCACAAATTTGCAGAGTTTTTTTTCTTCTTGAGACAGTCTTGTTCTGTTGCACAGGCTGGAGTGCAGTGGTGTGATCCCAGCTCACTGCAACCTCCGCTTCTGGGATTCAAGCAATTTTCCTGCCTCAGCCTCCTGAGTAGCTGGGATAAGACTCATTCCACCAAAGACAAACGCCACCACACCCGGCTAATTTTTGTATTTTTAGTGGAGACAAGGTTTCATCATGTTGGCTAGGCTGGTCTTGAACTCCTGACCTTAACTGATCCACCTGCCTCAGCCTCCCAAAGTGTAGTTTTTAAATCAACCATACATATACCTGAGAGAAGAGTCTTGCTCTGTTGCCCAGAGTGCACCCTAAAATGCGGTGGTACAATCACAGCTCTCTGTCACCTCAGCCTCCTGGGCTGAAGCCACCTCACGTCAGTCACTCAAATAGCTAGGACTACAGGCATGTGTCATCATGCCTAGCTAATTTTAAAACTTGTTTTGTAGAGACGGAGGCAGTCTCACTATGCTGCCCAGGCTGGTCTCAACCTCCTGGCCTCAAGGGATCCTCCCACAACGCTAGGATGATAGGCATGAATCAGCGCACCTGGCTGATGCAATTTAAGACTTTAGCTCAGGTTTAGAAAAAGAGACTAACAAAAGTAACTTATATATCAGTTCCCAATAAAGGCAGCATGATATAATGAAAAGAAGTTTGCAGTTCTTTTTAAGCATGAATTTGGTCTCTAGCCCGAAGACTGTGAGCAATCTTTTCAACTTTTTTCAATCCATTTTCTTTCCTGTAATATGGTCATACCTATCCTCAAAGAAATGTGAGAAATGAGATAACATTCTAGCATAATATCCTGTACATAGCTGGCCCTGACTAAATGTTAGTTCCCTTTAAAAACTACTGAGGCATCTTATTTTTTTAAATGAACTCACTCTGTAGTTTATAGTCCTGAGAAGATAGTATTAATAACTCCATTTTAAAGATTATAAAACTGAGACTTAAAAGTTAATTGACTGCTAAGTGGCAGAATATACATTACTGCTAAGTGGCAGAACATACATTCATATTTCTATATTCCTTTCCAATCATCTATAACTTCACGAAACTGGTAACTTATGTCAGCCTGCAGTGACATCCATAGATTCCACAAAGTGCTTTGCAATTTAATTCTTCACAGTTTGCAATTATGATATTTTAAAATTTTAATTCAGTGTTTCTGACATATGATCAGAAACACAGTATTCCACAGAATAGAAACATTCTATTCCACAGAATAGTCATGTCATAACAGTTCTCCTCATAAAGCTTAATGTTCTATATTATAATCCTAAAAATCATTTAGCATTCGCCAGTTTACGTTTCCAAAATTATAGGATTAAACATTTCTATGTCAGTTTCTTCAAAAGTATTTCAATACTTTTTCATACTTAAATTAAAGTAACATACCTGTAAATGAAGATGACTGAGAATGTATTGAGCCCTTGTTAAGCATTGTCATTATCTGACCAACAAATTCCTTAGGAATAAAATTGGCATAAGGTAGTATCTCAGTGCTGATAAGTTGAACTACCTAAAACAGAAGGGGCAAATGCAAATGTATTGTTTTCCTTGAAAGAGGCTGACTGAAATAATTTCTAGAGCAATATTTAAATTTTACTTTAAATGAAAATCAGTTAAAGAACCCTCCTTTAAAGAAGTACACAAACATTTTAACGTTAACATACAGGATGACTACTAATCTGTTTCTCTCATCTGTCTTAGTAACTTTAATGTAAAATAGCACCATAACTGTTTACTATTCCCAAACATTTGGACAAATGTTGGTCTTCAGCACGATAACTGCAAATCGGGGCCTAGAGAAAAATATCCAGCATATAAAATTTATCCGTTAGAATTAAAATATTCAAAATAGGATTAAGAGTAACTTTTTTTTTTTTTTTTTGAGACAGAGTTTCGCTCTTGTTACCCAGGCTGGAGTGCAATGGCACGATCTCAGCTCACCGCAACGTCTGTCTCCTGGGTTTAAGCTGTTCTCCCGCCTTAGCCTCCTGAGTAGCTCGGATTACAGGCGCGTGCCACCATGCCCAGTTAATTTTTGTATTTTTAATAGAGACGGGGTTTCACCATGTTGACCAGGATGGTCTCGATCTCTTGACCTCATGATCCACCCGTCTCAGCCTCCCAAAGTGCTGGCATTATAGGCGTGAGTCACCGCGCCCAGCCAAGAGTAACATTTAAATCACTTTTTTATGACCCAAAACTATCAGCTGTAAGAGAAATTAAAGTTATAGTTTATTTCTAACATGTAGTGTGTTATTTTGCCCTTTAAAAGAAAAAGTCCACAAGAGCTTTAATACAGTAACAGCCCAAAAGGCAGTATTTTGTTTCTATATTATTATGCCTATGTGATTTAAATATCTATTTTAAAGTAATTTAATTGATTTTATTTACTTAAAAGTTCTTCTACTCCACTTAAAGGAAAAAAAAAATCTCCAAAACCCTACCACCAAAAGAAAAATCTACAATCACAAGAACTGCTTCTTTAAATTCCATTTACACACCTCAAAATACATTCCTTATTTTATTTATTTATTTAAAAGACACAGGGTTCTTGCTCTGTTGCCCAGGCTGATGCACAATCATAGCTCACTGCAGCCTCCAACTCCTGAGCTCAAGTGATCCTCTCACCTCAGTCTCCCAAGTAACTAGAACTACAGAAGTGCACCACCATGCCTAATTAACTTAAAAAAAATTTTTTTTTTTTGTAGAGATGGTATCATACTATGTTACCTAAGCTGGCCTCAAACTCCTGGTATCAAGCAATTCTCCTGTCTCAGCCTCTCAAAGCACTAGGATTACAAGTATGAGTCACTGTTCCCAGCCTTGAAATACATTCTTTAAAAAACTCTATTTGCTTTAAGAATTCCATAGGCTATATATACAGCTGAGTAAAAATTGAAAAATTCAAGCAACGTATTGATTAATTTGAACCACAAACATCTGGTTTGTCAAACTGCAGAGTGAGCTCTCAAATATATGCTCCCTGACTGATGGATTTATTTCATTGAATCAACTCTTTTTAAACTTATTAAATGAACACCACTAAGTACTGAGACAATATGTACATAGCACAAGACTATCACAAATCTAAGGAAGTCACTTTTAAAATGCCAGTTCTTTAAACATCAACATTTAACCTGTAAGAGTTTTTTATTTTTTATTTTTTTTATTTTTTGAGACGGAGTTTCGCTCTTATTACCCAGGCTGGAGTGCAATGGCGCGATCTCGGCTCACTGCAACCTCCGCCTCCTGGGTTCAGGCAATTCTCCTGCCTCAGCCTCCTGAGTAGCTGGGATTACAGGCACACGCCACCATGCCCAGCTAATTTTTGTATTTTTTTTAGTAGAGACGGGGTTTCACCATGTTGACCGAGATGGTCTCGATCTCTTGACCTCGTGATCCACCCGCCTTGGCCTCCCAAAGTGCTGGGATTACAGGCTTGAGCCACTGTGCCCAGCCTAACCTGTAAGAGTTTTAATGCTTTCAGTTTTAATTTTAACCTATTACTTTATACTTTTAGCAACTGTATAGTTCAAACATTTTTACTATGTGGTTTCTGAAATGGTCATAGGAAAACATTTTAAATAGCTTCCTTACCTCAACATCAATATTTTCATTTCTTTGAAACTCTTGAATAGAGAGATTATCTGGAGGTATGCTAAAAAAAAATAAACAAAACACTTGAATTTTAAAGGTAAAATATTCCTTGCAAATACAAAGAAAACAGATAAACAGTATTCAAATGTCAAAAAATTATGTCTTCCAACCCAGGTTGGGACATTATTATTTATTTAAAAGAGCAATGTTGTAAATTAAAGTCATTAGTTTAATGACTAATTACAAACATAATATTCTAACTACAAAACACTAAGTCCAATCTTGAACTAAATAAAATCTGTAGAACTACACTTCTTTCGGTATTATGAGTGGAAAAACAACAAAAGGTAAAGACATATCATCTGCAACAGAGGAAAAGTTACTATTGTGGTGTTAGCTGAATTTACTTATTATGGTTGTGATTTAAGAGAGCCTTAGTTAAGTTGCTGAATTATTTACTCAGAGACAGTCCATTAATCATTAATTTGTAATAAATACAATGGATTAAAGATCTTTACAGTAAAGAGAGATAATCTATAAAGAAGAGGACTGACACAGATTTTCTAAAGCAGAAAACTGTTCCAACAAGAACAGAGAAAATCAACAGTTTTGAGAGAACCAAGGTGGATTCCAGACTCTGTGGCTAATAATAATAGTGAACAGTAAAATGAACATAGAGTTAAAAAACAGTGAGACACTACTATTTAAAAACAGTTGAGAAAAGAATAGTAATAATTGTTACAATAACGACAGCTAAAAAGTTAGGCACTGTACTAAGAGCTTTATTTGTATCATCTCCCATAGCAATTCCATGTAGTAATTATTATATAATCAACAGAAGAGGGAACTGAACTACTAATATGCCCAAGAACACACTAACTCAATGATGAGGCCACAACCTAAACCTAGATTTATCTGATATTTGGGCCTACATTATTCTCTTTTATATTGTAGATGTAAAAATAGTATTAGAATATTTAGGTTTAATATACACTTTTGAATATTAATATACAATTTTGTATCTAGAAATATATGGACATCAGACTTTGGTTTCATTGATTTGGACATTTTTCATTCAAAAATATCTAATGATTACCAACTACTTTGCTTTCAGACATTATATTCTTGGTGTTCAGGATCTAGCTGTGAACAAGATAGACTCGGTCCATTTCTTATGGAACTTGGATTCTGGTGTCCAAGTCCTAGGCTAACTATAAATTGGTAGTAGGAACTAGAGGAAAAAACTGAAAGAAATTCACTCAAACCTGAACCAATCATAGGAATTTCACAACCACTGCCATCAAAGCAGCTTCACAGATCATATCTGCATCTCTAGAGATAAAAGTTGTGTTTAATTTTAATTTATAACCAAGGAAATTAAGGGTTTAGTAATATTAAGATATTAAATTACTAGTGTGTATATTTCTATATTATTAGTGTGTATATATACAGTATCTATATATTGTGTATATAGTGTGTATAAGATATATACACTTTCAGTGCTTATAGTGTGTGCTAGGGTGTATTAGTGTGTATGTTTCAATACACATTAATAATGTTAATACTATTTGGATCATATATCAGAAACACTAAACTGGATTTTAAAAATATCATATGATGAGGGAAGAGAGCAGCATACAAAACTAAAAACTGAATGGTTCACTCCTAATTCCAGTGATCCATAAAAATCAGGACATTATTCAACTGTGCACAGGCTGAGTATCCTGATCCCAGAACTTAAACTAATAGTTATTTAATTTATAACTACCATCATTAGAACATATCCAAAACATCGACTGAGCTTTTAAAAATGCTGATTAACAGAATCTACCTATAAATTATAAGGGGCACTGGTCAATACTGCAGGTTACAAATGAGCCATGTTAAGATCTTAAATTTCTTAAAAATTTTTATTGCAATATAATCCACATACTATAAAATTCATCCTTTTTTGTTTGAGCTGCAGTCTCTCTCTGACGCCCAGGCTGGAGTGCAGTGGAGTGACCTCTGCTCATTGCCTCCTCCACCTTCCAGGTTCAAGCAATTCTCCTGCCTCAGCCTCCCTAGTAGCTGGGATTAAAGGCATGCACCATCCCGCCTGGCTAATTTTTGTAGTTTTAGCAGAGATGGGGTTTCACCACATTGGCCAGGCTAGTCTCAAACTCCTGATCTCATGATCTGCCTGTCTCAGCCTCCCAAAGTGCTGGGATTACAGGCATGAGCCACCATGCCCGGCCTAAAATTCACCCTATTAAAATATACAATTCACTGTTCTTTAGTATATTAATAAAGTTGTACAACCATCACCATTTCTAATCCAGAACATTTTGATCACCCCCCAAAAAAGCTCTGTACCCATTAGTAGCCACCCCCCTTAACTCCCTTTCCTCCACTCCTGGGAACCATAAATCTACTTTGTCTGTATCAATCTGTTACTCTGGATCTATCCCATAAACAATACAATACATGGCCTTTTGCGTCTAGTTTCTTCTACTTAGCATTATGTTTTAAATGTTTATCCATGTTAGAGGACGCATTAGCACTTCATTATTTTTTATGGCTGAATAATAGTCCACTTTATGAATATACCACATTCGATTTATCTAGATATCAGTTGATAAACATTTGAGTTATTTTCACTTTTTGCTACTATGAATAAACGCTGCTATGAACATTAGCATAAAAGTTTTTGTGTGAACATGTGTTTTCAATTCTTTTGCACAGTACTTTGTGATTTTTAATGTAAGGTCCACAGATCATTAATTGTATAACTTCCCACTGGTCCACTGTGTCTCCTTTGATAACCACCATCTTTTGGTGCTCAAAGTTGGCTGAATTAATTTCTAATAGACTTCAAGTGTCTACCAATTTGCAGTCCTTATGTATTTCAACTTTGTATTTTTCTTTCTCTGAAACTATTTATTTATTATAATAGCCCTCAATGGTATGCAAAGGCTTTCTTTTCTTCTAGTTGATTTTATTTGTATTTTCTTTGTTACTGTATTCCCTTGTCAAAGCATCTTGCAGATCAAAACGGTTGGGGAATAATACAGAGAGATATGTTTATTCTTAGAGTCTTAGAGTATGTATTAATTAAGTTAAAGAATTTATAAAGGTATCAATATAAAAAATAATCAAATATTAGTCTTACTTAAATTCATTAAGTCTTGCTATTCCAATCAACATTCCAAAACAGTCTTCCTACTATTCAAATACTACTGATAAACTTCAGCTACAGAACATAGTCTATATGTGGCATTAAGTTTAAAATCTAAAAGCTTATGACCTCCAAAGTTATCAATTATTTAGAAAACAACAACAGAGAAAAAAATCTTCTCATGAAACTGTAAAAATGTGCATGGTTTTTAACTTCTCTTAATACTGCATTTTTAGCACCAACTGACCAATAAAAGCTTTTGATCTGAGCCTTAAAGCATTTTTGAACTATGATACAAAAACTAAACTGGCTTTATACAATATAAGCTATAAGTTAAAAAGACTGATTAAACATTAAGTCAAAATACAGAAAATAATCATGGACCTTTACAATTACTCCAACAAATAACTTTTCATCTTTTTTTGAGACAGGGTCTCACTCTATCAACCAAGCTAAAGTGCAGTGGCACAATCACAAGTCACTGTAATCTCAACCTCCTAAACTCAAGCAATCATCCGACCTCAGCCTACAAAGTAGCTGGGACTACAGGCACATACCACCACACTCAGCTAATTTAAAATTTTTTTTGGAGAGGCAGAGTCTCACTACATTCCCAGGCTGGTCTCCAACTCCTGGGTCCAAACAATTCTCCCAATTTGGCCTCCCAAAGTACTGGGATTACAGGTGTGAGCCAGTCCACCTGGCCTTCTTTTTGCCTTTCAAATAAATAATGCCTACTGATGGGCAAGGACCAGCTCACGATCAACATAAAGTAGACGACAGCAAGTGAGGACCAGGTCACAGGTCTCCTGACTCTCAATCTAGGGTGCTCATCGACTACTCCATTGAATAGAAAGCTTAAATCTGTAACTAGAATAATCATAACTTAGAATACTGATACCGTGCTACTTGAGAGCTGAATTTAGAATCTTTATTATTTTTTAGCCATTAAAAGTAACTCCAAGCCTGGGTGACATGGTGAAATCCCAATTCTACAAAAAATACAAAAATTAGCTGGGTGTGGTGGGTGCACGCATGTAGTCCAAGCTACAAGGGAGGCTGAGGTGGGAGAATCACTTGACCCCAGGAAGTCGAGGCTGCAGTGAGCCATGAACATGCGACTTCACTCCAGCTTGGGTGACAGAGAGAGACACTGTCTCAGGAAAAACAAAAACAAACAAAAACCTCCAAATTTACAGATAAATTTCCAAATCTTGTTTATTTAGAGTTTTGGTCTTTAGAATTTGGTCTAAAATATAGCTGTTTCATGGGAAATTATATGGATAATGTCACTTCTAAAAGAAAGAAAAAACATTAATGACAATAATAGTGGTAACAAGCATTTTTAAAGTACTTACATGCCAGGTACTATTTTAAGCATTCACTTAATTTTAAGGGATTTAATCCTCACAATAACCCTATAAATTAGGGAGCATTATTATTGACATTTAATAGATGAGGAAAAATGAGTCACTGAAAGGTTTAATAATTTGTCTAAAAAGTTGTATAAAGTAGTACTAACTGGGATCTGAATCCATGTAGTCTGGTTACCAAGCTAATGCTCTTATCTACTATGCCAGCTACTTCTTATGTAATAATGTATTTTTCAACACAACAAACATATTCAAATCTTTAAGGTAAGGAAAGCTATAATCAGGTAAAATATTTTAAATGAAATTATACTACAACTGCATTGATACAAAATTATGTAAAATACTATTATTTGGCCTTTGGTTCCACTTTTCTGTATTAAACTCTTCAGAAAACAGAATTGAATAAAATAAGAATAAAGTCCAGAAAGTGAAGAATATTTAATAAGAAACTCAAAAATAAGATGGCAGAAAAACTGTCTCAAGCAAAACAAAAACAAAAATCTCCAAATTTAGAGCTAAATTTTTAAATGAAATTATATTACAACTGCATTGACACAAAATTATATAAAATAGTATTATTTTACATAGAAATAATTTTTTTTTTTTTTTTTTTTTTGAGACAGAGTTTCGCTCGTTACCCAGGCTGGAGTGCAATGGCGCGATCTCGGCTCACCGCAACCTCCGCCTCCTGGGCTTAGGCAATTCTCCTGCCTCAGCCTCCTAAGTAGCTGGGATTACAGGCACGCACCACTATGCCCAGCTAGTTTTTTGTATTTTTAGTAGAGACGGGGTTTCACCATGTTGACCAGGATGGTCTCGATCTTTCGACCTCGTGGTCCACCCGCCTCGGCCTCCCAAAGTGCTGGGATTACAGGCTTGAGCCACCGTGCCCGGCTTTTTTTTTTTTTTTTTTTTTTAATAGACAGAATCTTTGCTATGTTGCTCAGGCTGGATTTGAACTCCTGGGCTTGAGCAATCCTCCCACCTCAGCCTCCCAAGTCGCTGGGATTACAGGTGTGTGTCATCGCACCTGGCTAGGGAAAGAAATACTTAAAGAAGTTTTGCTCATTGTTAAAAAACAAAAAACAAAAAACAAAAAACAAACTGATCTGAAAGCTTATTCAAAGAAAAGGAAAAATTTAAATTTCTCAACCTGTGTGCTTGATATAAATTAACAGTGACTCAGGCTCTTACATCAAAGGGACTCAATTTTTCAGTTATTTTAAAGATGAAAACATAATTTGTTTGAATATAGTTTATGAGCGCCTATCATTTTTCCTTCAAAAACAGAATATGCTTACATTATCAATAACATTTCTAGAAATGAAAAATATATAAAAATACAAAACAAAGCGTGACCACTTTCAAGACAGAAATTAAGATCACCTGTTATTATTTTAAATTCTGAAATATAAAACAAGCTTTTGTAGGGGAAATGCCAGTTAATCTTCTGCACCCTAGAAATTTTCTTTACTGAATAATTAAACCATATCAGAATAGTACACAGATTTTTTTTCAGTTAATTCATTCTGTTGTGGACTCATTTAATCATTATCAATATGTCAATGTAGTTTTTTTCTTCAAGTACATCAAATCTGTAATTTCAGTGGTTTCAAACTAATAATGTTAAACATTTTTTTAGCAGTACATGGTATCATTTTACAATATCAAAAAATGATTGATAGATAAAAACATTTTAAAAATTGGCCAGGTGTAGTGGCTCATGCCTGTAATCCCAGCACTTTGGGAGGCCAAAGTGGGAGGATCACTTGAGCCCAGAAGTTCAAGACACCTAGGCAACTTGTGAGACTCTCCATCTCTACAAAAAGTTTAAAAATCAGCCAGGTGTGGTGGCAGGCACTTGTAGCCCCAGCTACTCAGGAGGTTGTGGTAAAAGGATTGCTTGAGCCTGGGAGGTCAAGGCTACAGTGAGTTGTGATCACAGTGCTCTGCTTGCGCCTGGGCAACACGGCGAGACTCTGTCTCAGAAAATAATTTCACCACAGTAGCACAAAGGATAATTACTTGTGCTAGAAGGATTAAAGACTGCCTGGCTACCACAGGTATTAAAGACAAGTCCACACTTAGTAAAAGGGCATGCTTTACATCTGTCCTGCCCAACATAACTTTCAGTGATGAAACGTCCAATAATCTGCCCTACCCAGCGTGGCAGCTGCTAGTCACCCATGGCAATGAGTACTTAAAATATGCCTAGAGTGACTGAAAAAAGTTTTAATTTTATTTACATTTTGGTTTTAAGTAGTCATTTGTAACTAGTGATTGCTACTGTACTGAATAGCACAGCTCTCCTAGATAGACCTCAGCAAATTCTTCATTCAAAACATGTAGTCTGTGTTCCAATTATCCTACTATAGTTCAGTGAGGGGTCAAAATAGCATCCTAAATAAAAGCTTTAAATTATATATCATACAATAAAAATTCCGTTATTCCTTGACAAATCTAAAGACCTTGAAGAACTGATCAATAATCATATTGCTACTCATCGTATTTATTCTGGTAATACACTGATTTTCTAAAATGGCTTTTCTCTTGAAATGCCCAATGGGCACCAAATTAAAAGATGAATCTTCTTAGTTTTATTAAGTTAAAATTCTTACGTATGATGCATTCATATTGTTTTATATATGATATTCCTATCTTATAACCAAAACCAATACAAAAACCAAAAATCTCTATTGTTCATGGATAATGTACCCAGTGGATAAATGCCTATGTTTTTAATACAATCTAGCAACCTTAATAATCAATTACTTTTTTAATTAATAAAGATAAAAACTGTTTTTAGAGCAAGTGAAGATATAATGTGCCACTTCTCGAAAGATTGTCTTAATTTTAAAAATGAATGCGCTGACCTTTTAGTAAAGAGAAAATCTTCAAAAGTATTGGCTAGTTCTGGCCACATACTGTCAAATTTTCCAGAAGAAGCATGCTGCCGGGCAACAGGTAGTCCAATAGAAAGAACCTTGAGAAGAGAGGATACTGCCAGTTTCCATGTGCTTTCAGAAGGGCAGGAATACTTCAAACTGAGAGGAACCCTAAGAGTCTGAAAATAAGAACAGTTTAATATAAGTATTAATTAAAACATACACACACAATTTTAATTACTTAAGAAAAACTACAGCAGAAAAAAAAACAGCATAGGTATTTTCATTTTTAAAAGGATGGCATTTTTCAAAAAAAATTAGCAGGGCATGGTGGCACATGCCTGTAGTCCCAGCTACTCCAGAGGCCGAGGCAGGAGAATTGCTTGAACCCAGGAGGTGGAGCTGCAGGGAGCTGAGATCGCACCACGACACCATAGCCTGGGCGAGAGTGCGAGACTCCATCTCAAAAAAAAAAAAAGGGATGGTATTTTCATTTAAAAAAGGATATTATTTCCCAGAAAGGCCAATTCTCAGACATGGTCTTTAAATATTACCTGGAAAGATATACTTTTAAATCCTGTCTCTATCTTATAAACAATGAGCCTTAAAAAATAACATTTTTGAACTTCAGTTTTTCATCATTAATAATAGGGATATCACCTGGAAAGTTAAGAGTAGGAAACACAATCCTGTAGCTTTTCTTAACCTGATGTTATGGAATCATAAATTCTGCCAGAGTTCTCTCAGCAAAAAGTAATTTGGCTGATGTGGATATAACATCTACAAAGGGTCAGTATTGTTTATACAGTCATCTGCCACATATATACGGTAGACCACGTAGCATAGGTGTGAAGTAAGCTATACCACCTAGGTTTGTGTAAGTACACTACGACTGATGTTCAGACAACAGTGAAATGGCCTAACAATGCATCTCTCAGAATGTATCTCTGTACTTAAGCAATGCATGACTGAATTTTCCCAGTAATGGCGAGGGAACAGTAAATAAAACATAAAATGTAAATAACTTGAAGTTGTATGGTCTATCTGTAAAATTATTTGAGTTTTATAACCTACTCTAATTTGTGTGTACTTTTTTCCTTCTCCAAATATTTCAGTAAAACTGGTAATTTAAGATTTGACCACTGAGGGTACAGGAGTAGTGCATTTGAGTTATGTACAGTGACTAGACATACAGTGGCTGAGTACAGTGACTTATCTTTTTAAGTGATCAACTTTTGAGACAGGTGGCTTTTATTTATTAAAAGAACTAATTTGGAGGTTGAGAATGAATTTCTCTGATCACAGTTCTATCTGGCAATTAGAACACTAGATTGACCAAAACATCATAGCAAACTAACACAGAGCACTATCAACAATTTTGGCATACTGTCAGGCAATTTGCATTAGAGTAAAAATTCCGGTCTAAGAAAGTGCAGAAAAAATAAATTATCGTATTTCAAGGATATAAAACCAAGTATCATCACCTTCCACACAAATTATTACAGAGTATTCACATAGTATACATATTAACCATTACACAGTAGCATGAAATGGGCCTTCATTAACAGATAATGAACACACCCAGAATCTACTTAACTCCTTCCCTACTTTCCACCTCCATACATCCATGTGCTTTGGGAAGAACTGTTCCTACTTATAGTTTGGGAAGTCAGGCAAAGAGATGACAGAGCTGATCAAGCCAATGAATCCACTCTGTTTCCCTGGCCATAATCATTGGCTTAAGAGTGGGTATGGGACCTAAGCTGGTCCACTAAAAATTAATTTTAGGAACTTAAGAAGAATAGAAGTGTGTGAACGTGTGTGTGCATGAACATACACACTCTCTCCGTCTCTGTCTCAGTCTCCCTATAGGACACATAATCCTATTACTGGCCTACAGCTATGAAGAAAAAATGATATGGTCAATTCTTAGCAGAACAGTCTAGAGAAAAAAATGTAGTTTTTGATAATACTGCTGATCCACTGGATCAACAAATCAAAGCCCTTCCTCTATCTTTGAATTTTCTAAGTAAGCATGCCAAAAAATTCCCTTTATTGTTAAAGCTAGTCAGAGCCTGAGTGTATGTCATTTGCAACCAAAAGAATACTAAGTGATACATGGGCCATTCTGAGTTCACATTTTATAACTCAAGCTAAGATAAAAGAAAAGTATGGTGTATTAGTGTCATTGATATTTTACTAAAATCAAGAAAACATTCAGCATAGCAGATCCATTCAATTTATACATTTTATTTTTAAAAATGTTTACAAAACTAAATAGAAAGTGGTATACAGCATGTGCTCAGCGATTGTCTGCGACCACAAGGTTCACAATTTTGGAGAAAGAGCCTTGTCCAATCAACCACAAAACAATGTGGTAAGTGGTACCAACAAAATGGGATTTTAGAAAAGAGATCAGCTCTCTTCCCAACACCCAAGATGCCGAAAGGAAAGAAAGCCAAGGGGAAGAAGGTGGCTCCGGCCCCTGCTGTCATGAAGAAGCAGGAGGCCAAGAAAGTGGTGAATCCACTATTTGAGAAAAGGCCTAAAAATTTTGGCATTGGACAAGACATTAGCCCAAAAGAGACCTCACCCGCTTTGTGAAATGGCCCCGCTATATCAGGTTGCAGTGGCAGAGAGCCATCCTCTGTAAGCGGCTGAAAGTGTCCCCTGCAATTAACCAGTTCACCCAGGCCCTGGACTGCCAAACAGCTACTCAGCTGCTTAAGCTGGCCCACAAGTATAGACCAGAGACGAAGAAAGAAAAGAAGCAGAGGCTGTTGGCCCGGGTCAAGAAGAAAGCGTCTGGCAAAGGGGATGTCCCCACTAAGAGACCACCTGTTCTTCGAGCAGGAGTTAACACCATCACCACCTTGGTGGAGAACAAGAAAGCTCAGCTGCTGGTGATAGCACACGTAGACCCTATTGAGCTCGTTATCTTCTTGCCTGCCCTGTGTCGTAAAATGGGAGTCCCTTACTGCGTTATCAAGGAGAAGGCAAGACTGGGACGTCTAGTCCACAGGAAGACTTGCACCACTGTCGCCTTCACATACGTGAACTCGGAAGACAAAGGTGCTTTGGCTAAGCTGGTGGAAGCTATCCGCACCAACTACAATGACAGATATGATGAGATCCGCCGTCACTGGGGAGGCAATGTCCTGGGTCCCAAGTCTGTGGCTCGCATTGCCAAGCTCGAAAAGGCAAAGGCTAAAGAACTTGACATGAAACTGGGTTAAATGTACACTGTTTTCTATAAAATCATGCAAATTTTCCTTCAAAAAAAAAAAAAAGAGATCATTTAACTCTTTTAAAAATATAAACTGAGTGGCTGGACACAGTGGCTCACGCCTTTATTTCCAGCACTTTGGGAGGCTGAGGTGGGTGGATCACTTGAGGTCAGAAGTTCAAGACCAGCCTGGCCAACATGGTGAAACTCCATCTCTACTAAAAATACAAAAATTAGCCAGGTGTGGTGGTGTGCACCTGTAGTCCCAGCTACTCAGGAGGCTGAGGTGGAAGAATTGCTTGAATCTGGGAGGCGGAGACTTCAGTGACACATGTCTTATGTTATATATAAACTGAGCCAGGCACAGTGGCTCACACTTATAATCCCAGTGCTTTGGGAGAAAGAGGTTAGAGGGCTGACTGAGGCCAGGAGTTTGAGACCAGCCTGGGCAACACAGCAAAATCCAGTCTCTACAAAAATTAAAAATCAGCTGGGGGTGGTGGTGGTGTCCACCTGTAGTCCCAGCTACTTGGGAGGCTGAGGCAGGAAGATCACATGGGATCAGGAGCTCAAGGGTACAGTAAGCTATAGCTATGCCACTCCACTCCTGCCTGGGTAACAGAGTAAAACTCTGTCTCTAAAAAAAAAAAAAAAAAAAAAAAAAATACAAACAAAAAAATACAAACTGATTCATATCACTCTTTGGTATTCAGTCCTTCAATGGTTAAAGAACAAAGTCTGATCTTATGATAGCTTAAAAGACCGACAGGTATCCTGTCAGACATATCCCAGGTCCTGAACTAAATTTCTCAACATTTCTTAAATATACACCATGATCTTCTATACTGCTTAATTTACCTATAATACCTGACTCCTCCTTTTTAATCTAACTCTTAACTCCTTCAAGTGTCATCTCTGTTAATTCTTGCCCAAATCCCCTCAGCAGTTTACTTAGTTTTTTGTCTTTCAGAGGAACTCCATTTTTATTCAGCACTGACTACTTGGCAAGCATCGTTAAATGCCATACCTCAATGGATTCTCTTAATATAGTTAAGACATGAAAGTGGTGTTGGTATTATTCTTTACAGATGAGAAACATACTCACATAGGTTAATTTGCCAAAAGTCATAAAGCAGTAAGCCAATAGTGGACTACTTGAAGTCAGGCTACCTGAATGCAAAGCCTCCACTCTGGTCTTTACCCAGCACTTAACACACTGTATTATTACTTGTTTGCCTTTCTTTATTCTCTATATTGAATTATTAAATGTAAGAATCATTTTATTCATTTTAAAAGTACTAGTAACTTGTAGAAAGATGCCTGAAAAACACGTTCAATAAATGAAGAGGGGATAGTTTTGGTGAAGTAAGCAGTCAGGAAAGAAAAGTATCATAAAAGTCAAGGGAAGAAAGAGCTTTTAGAAAGCTCAGCTTTCAGAAGGCCAGTACCATGCTATAGGGAAGATAAATCCCTAGAAAAGGACTTAGGCTGTGAAGATTTGGTCTTTTGTAACTTTGAGAAAGCAGTTTCTGTAGAGCAATATGGTCATAAGCCAACACACAATAGGCAAGGAGTGAGTGGTGACAAGGTGAAGGCCACAAACTGTTTAAGGGATATGGGAATAAAGGAAAGCTGAAAGAGGATGACAATTTGAGTAGGAAGTACAGTTGAGAGAAAATTCTTATAGTATCAAACCCTTAATAATCCTTGTATAAGATGCTGAAAGAAAAATGAAAAAAATCACCAATGACGAAAGGTGGGAAGGTTGGTCTGGTATTTATACAATCAGTGTAAGGTATATCCACATGGTAGAGGAAAAACAAGGTATAGGGTTAGTTCTTCAAAACAGGGGAAAACAAGAAATAAGCCTTAGAGGAATGGAACAAAATCAACAATTTTTTAAATGGCTGTCCATACAGTAAAAAAGTGGCTTAAAAAACTCAGCATGCATGTTCAGTTCAGTTCAGTTAAGGCTGCGTTGTTAATTTCTCCCTAAATGCTCACCAACCGTGAAGCTTGAGAAATACTGTCCTAAGAATGAGGATCCTCACTGTCTTATGTGGCAAAATGTAAGAACTCTAACATATTTAATGCACATGTATGTTAAAATATTTTTCACTAAAAAGAACTTCTCATACTTTAGAAAAATGGCTTGCTAAATACAATTCATGAGTGTTGGATAAAAGTCATAAATAATAATACAAATTATATTTTCCATTTATCCCAATATAATATTACCTAAGGAATAATTTCAATAATGTCCTCACCATCTAATGAAAGTGTAGAAATGAAAAAAAGGTACCTTAATAATATTCTGGAGCACTTTCTCATTCACCACTGCTTTGTGACACGCTGTTTTTTGGTATAAATCCACAACTACTTCTAAAGATCTTTCCGCAAACGGCACATAATTCAAGGCTACCCATTCCGCCTAGAAAGTAATATTTTCACACGCAGTTAAAAATAAACAGGATTAATTTAATCATATCGTTTTCAAAGAGAAAGCATATTTGTCTTAAAGTTCAGGTCTTGCTTTTAGGTCAGATTATATTACACATGCAAAGTTTTCAAAGAGATATGTACTTCATGAAAAAAATAATTTTCAGCCAGGCAAAAATTAAAACTATTGGAAAAAGCACACAGAGCATTCTACCAAGAACCGGGAAAGATGTACTTTATTTGTTGCCAATAGGTTAGGACAATTTTAGGAAATTTAACTCACCGGTGCAAATAGTTGGATCTATTGTGATTCCATTGTGTTGCAAGACAAATAGAATGAGAAAAGTTAATACATATTAAAACTACTTTCAGATGATATAAAATAATTTTTATGTTGAGTGAGCAAAATCAGCATGTGCATGCATTCAGAAATTTACTTTTCCCCTAAGCCAAAGATAAAATTTGCCAACTATGGCTATAAAAATATTTTATGTAAAATCCAACTAAATTTCACACCAGTAGTGTACAACTTGTTATTTAGTACAAACAGTTTCTTCATCTTGCATGGCAGGTATCTATTTTAAGTAAGATTAGACTTAGGAATTTAGAAGCTGTTTCGTATTGGAATGGGGCAACCAAGAAAGAGGTACAAAGGAACTTAAATTTTTCAAGGAAGATGTACTGTAGAATAATATAAAAGGCCAAACTTTCTGAAGAACCAGTTGGAAGAGGAAAGTCATAAATGAGGAGAAAAAGGACACAGAACTGGTTTCCCAAACAATATTTCTATTCAACTTATACTGTTAATAGACATCTGTAAGTACATTTGTGAGTGAAAAGTATCTTTTTCTGAGATAATAAAAGTCCATCTTAAGTGGAACTGTATTTATATTAAGCCAAGAAATCTTACAAAGTAAATAAAATTTACAGTAAATTACCTGATTATATTTTGCATTTGCAATGTGCTTTGTTTCCAGCTGTCCATACTGTGGAGGTTTACAGGAAAATTCTACAAATGCCAACAACTGGTCAAATATAGCTGGATACATTATCTGCATGTTTTCTGGTCCTACACAAATGGCCTATAAAAGCAAAATATGAACATTAGAATGCATACTCTGAACTCCATTAAGTTCTTTACTGTATATATATTTGTTTAACTAGAGAATCTTAAAAGCTGTTTTATTTTATGTATTATACCATCTTTTCTAAGCCCTGCAGGACATAAACTATTTTAAATTGTTATAGAATAATGTATAGGCTGAAACAATCAGCTAAAACAACGTTCTTTTTTTAAAGTGTAATTTATTTCTGGCCGGGCGCTGTGGCTCACACCTGTAATCCCAGCTCTTAGGGAGGCTAGAGGCGGGAGGATAGCTTGAGCCCAGGAGTTCGAGACCTGCCTGGGCAATATAGCGAGACCCTGTTCTCCACAAAAAGGAAAAAAAACAAAACAAAACAAAAAAGGGTAATTTATTTTTTAATAGAACAGAAAAAGAGCAAAGAGAAGTCCCAGGCAGTCCTCAGGTTCTACAATCTGATCGTCTGTTCAGTAACACAGACACTAGGCCATTAAGAATGTGTGACTGACTACAACAGCACTGACTTCAAATTTAGTGATGTAAGTTCATTGAAATGACACCTGATTTCTGCACCATGGCTGGTCCAACAACTTTAACAAATAAACATGTGTGTTACAGTTGGGAAAATAAGTCATCTATGAACATTTGTTTCTAAAAAATATATATATACGGATTAATTTTTAACAGGGCTGTGTATATTTAATGTGAAAGGTATCTAAATATATAGATTTGATTCAAAATAAATTAAAATGTTAACATAAGAAAATAACACTTTAATAGATAGTAACTAGTGTCTCCAGATTTCTTCAAATAATTTGATAGGAAGAAAGAATAAAATACATCTCATGACACTGTAGACTTTAATTATTCAAACGTGTTGAAAATACTTAAATCTTTTGGGCTTTTTTTTCTAGCCAATTTATTTTTTATTTTCATATTTTTTTGTTTAAGTCTTCATTTCTCTCTGTGAGAAAAATATTAATGATGTTATTTATGAAGTGTCTAAAATATACTTGTGCTTTATAAGACAAAAAGCATGATCACTTTATGCCTGAGAGTATAGATACTCTTAAAATCCTAAACCAAAATTCAAAGCATTTTTTAGAAAATTTCTTTAAAAATACGTCCAAAATTTATTTTATGCACTCCAGGGCCTTTAACTTATCAGATAACACATGAGTTTTATTTTTCCTTAGAGGAGATATAACCATTTAGCTGTAATGAAAGTTTTAGCTAAAACTGCACTGCCATAGAAAACAGACATGCAAGTGCTGCCCATACCTAAGTTTGACTGTTCTATAATTATAATGTAAGAAAGTAGTATAAAGACATATAATACCATCTCAGTTTTTTTCTCAAAAATAATGAAGAATTTGAATAGTAAAATTTATATAGTCTAAAAATTCTCTTTGTTGACTGCTTATCGTTCTACTTTCTTCTTCATTAACCTCTTGCTGGGTCTTAACTCTTAGAAGTAAACAAGTAGTAATTATTGTGGAAAAAGAGTCTGAATTACTCTGAGTGCATTCTTTTATTTTAAATGACTAACAACAACCAAAGAAGCACATGTAGGTACCTGAGAAAACTAAGTATTATAATTTCTTTGTAAGTATGTTAACACAAATTAATGACTTTGATTATACATTTTGATTTTCAATCATCCTTTATAAAAAGAAAATATACTAATAGTGTTATGGTTGATTTATAGAGCAATTTTGGGACTTTAAAATGCATAATTTTAAAACCCACAATTTTTCAACAACAAATTCCATCTAAGAAAAAGTTTTTATGGGTTTTTCTTCAGTATTCTTAAGTTTGAATATCAGAAAAATCTATAGAAGAAAACTGATAACAAATTTTAGTTCAAAAACTAAGAATCAACAAGCAATCTGGATATTACCTATTAGTCCTTGAAAGCTGTGTATGTGAAGGCAAGAAAAAATACTGAATATCTAATTTCTTATATTGTTTAAAGTTTCACTTACTAACTCATTTAATAATAATCCATTCAGTGCCTGGCACATACTAAGACTTTGCTAGAGAACTCAGAGATGAAAATAACAACAGCTAACATTTACTGCATGTTTAACACATGCCCGGCACTAAGGGCCTTAAAAATATCCCACTTAACAAGCAAAAAGGTATAGATTTATTATTTTTACTTAATAGATGAGGAAGCTGAAGTATAGAAAGATTAAGAAACTTGCCCATGTTATTTAGAAGACAGAGCTTTGTTACACACTCCAAGGGCATCATTCACATACAGTGTGATGCTGTCTCCTGGAGCACAACTTGGGCAGCCCTGGTGATGAAAGCAGACAGTTTCCAGCCACCTGACTAAGAAGTTTAGCAGCAAATAAGACAGATGCAGTTTCCTGACCTCAGGACTTACAGTATAGCACACACAAAAGGCAGATAATTAAATTCCCAGCTCCTCTACACATGCTAAGATAACTTGGCAATAAATAAATAAATTAGCACACATAACTATGTCAACTTGGCTGGGAACTGGTGATTTGAGAACAAAGAGAAGACTGAGAACTTGAAGTCCTAAACAATATAAAAGCACTGAGGAAGACAACATAAATGCTCCTCTTTAGAAAGAATACATAATATCAGAAATCAGTTTTTCTCTTAGGAAAGAAAATAGCTTTTAACCAACAAAATGTTTTGCGGGATAACTATTAGTTTAAGGATAAAGTCCAAAAGCAAGTAAATTTGGCTTGTGCAAAAATGTTGTGGCACCTGTGGAAGAAAACATAAAAACACAATAATAAAATATACATTTTTCTGTTAGGAAATACTAGAGATCCATTCAAAATCTCACATTCAAGATCTATGACACATCATTTAGGTGATCATACAATACAACAATGGCTAGTGTGAACATTAATAATTTTAAAATAATATAAACAACAATAACCCTTCCTAAGTTTCAAACTGAAGGTATATTTTGTTTTCAAAGCTATTAAAAGCTCAGAACAAATTACTAGTAGTTGGGATAAATGATTCTACTTTTTTAAAAATAAAATGTATACTTTGTTTCAGAAAACTAACAAAAACGTTGTTTCTTGTTTATCCGGTACACATATACAAAAACCTGAATCAACGATCTGAATGAGAGTATCAGATTACGGGCATCTCAAAAGGCTTATGTCTTATCTTCTTTTCTGATAACTCTTCCATCCCCTGCAGTCTATAAGCAACTTATCTGCATGTCCAAGGGACGGGGGGAGTAATTACTGACATGCTACTTTTCTCTTTTCTTTCCTACTGAAAATAAAAACAGATATTTTAATTGTAGAAAACCAATATCCCTACACTGAATTTTTTAAAATGCCAGACTCTCATAAATTTTTAGTTTCTTCACATTTCCTGCACAATGCAACTAGGGTTAAACAGATTAAGATGTAATCCCAACTACTCAGGAGGCTGAGGCAGAAGAATTGCCTGAACCTAGGAGGCGGAGGTTGAAGTGAGCCAAGATCGCGCCATTGTACTCCAGCCTGGGTTAACAAGAGTGAAACTCTGTCCCAGGAAAAAAAAAAAAAAAAAAAAAAAAAAAACAGATTAAGAACTGCTGCTCAGCCAAACTTCTTCCAGAAGTAGCTAAGAGGTATCGTGGTATAGTAGAAATATCACCATTCTCACTGTGAATTTTTTTTTTTTGAGATGGAGTTTCGCTCTTGTTACCCAGGCTGGAGTGCGATCTCGGCTCACCGCAACCTCCTCCTCCTGGGTTCAGGCAATTCTCCTGCCTCAGCCTCCTGAGCAGCTGGGATTACAGGCACGTGCCACCATGCCCAGCTAATTTTTTGCATTTTTAGTAGAGACGGGGTTTCACCATGTTGACCAGGATGGTCTCGATCTCTTAACCTTGCGATCCACCCGCCTCCGCCTCCCAAAGTGCTGGGATTACAGGCTTGAGCCACCGCGCCCAGCCTTCACTGTGAAAATTTTTATCATTTCAGTTGAGTAGCATGCAATCAGTTAATCAGAAATTTAATTTACGCTACACAAATGGTTACTGACAACAGGTGCAATCACAATCTAGATCTACTCCAATCTTATTAGAATGTCTTCACTTTGCTGGACAGGCTGGCTACATAGTTGGCATTTTTTGGCTTAGCATTTTGATGGCTGTGAATTGTGCTACCCATTTTTCTTGATAGTCTAAAAAACACTTTGAATTTGATCTAGTCGTGCTTATTAATCTGAATTTGCTCAATAATTTTAGTTGTTTCAATACTTTTTTGGTAATAACAAAATACACATAGTAAAAATAAATCTCTTTAAAAACTGAGGAACAATACTTTTTATAAATTTCTTCTTTTTTTTTTTTTTTTTTTTTTTTTGAGACAGTTTCGCTCTTGTTACCCAGGCTGGAGTGCAATGGCGTGATCTCGGCTCACCGCAACCTCCGCCTCCTGGGCTCAGGCAATTCTCCTGCCTCAGCTTCCTGAGTAGCTGGGATTACAGGCACGCGCCACCACGCCCAGCTAGTTTTTTGTATTTTTAGTAGAGACGGGGTTTCACCATGTTGACCAGGATGGTCTCGATCTCTCGACCTCGTGATCCACCCGCCTCGGCCTCCCAAAGTGCTGGGATTACAGGCTTGAGCCACCGCGCCCGGCCTATAAATTTCTTCTTTAATGTAGGCTTTCAATAATTTGAGTTAAATTTAAGCACAGATAAAAAAATAATGTAATCTGACTGCTTATTAATTTTCTAATCATAAAAGTACTTTACTAAAACATTTATTCCAAATATTATATCCTCTTTTGAAGACTTGCATAGGCAAACCAAAAATCCTGTTCAAGTGAAACATGAAGATGCAGGTAGCTTCTTTAAGATTCAAAATATACATGAATTACCTTTCAAAATATAGCAGAAAACCACAAGTTTTCAAAATACCTAGATCATGACAATCCTCTCAATTTATCCCAATGTATACATATACAACAATCTTGGTGATCTAAAATTTATCCCCCCAAATATATAGCAAAATAAAAAAAATTCAGAGAACGATATGCATTATTAGTTAGCCACTAAAATTATATTACCTTTTGGAGAACATCTAAAGCTGTAAGTACAGCTTCCTGTAAACTTGTCAAAACTGCTTCGGTATAAGATGGAAGAATAAAAGGGGATGCATCTGAACTTATTGGGACTGAAATAGCACTGTGCAATATGACTCCCAACTTTTGCAAGTCATCCATGTTGAAACCAGTTTTTATGTGTTGGTAGAGAGCTGGAAATATCTGAATTAAAGCTGTAAGAAAAGGCTGGCTAGGAATAAAAGTTAGTTTATCAAAAGTAATAGGAGGCTTAGTACTTTCAGATCCAATTCTATACCAGGTATTCCATGCTGCCCACCATAGATTCAAATCTTCTAGCTCATCAGTAACAATGGGTGGCTCAGAGCTACTATATCTTCCAAGTCTTTCTCCAATGGAATCTGTTCTTACAAATGGCCGGCTCATACCAGGGCCTGATATGGGCCCTATAAGAACAGGCACAGGTACATTAACTACAGGTGGTGTCTCAGGCTTATCCAAGTCTCTGGCAGGAGACACAATCTGTAAAATTTCCTGGAAGCTTTTCAGAGCGGCCAGAGACACTTCATTGTTTTTGCTGAGTGCTGCTGATTGTATATGGTCAAGAAGAACATCCCAAGCTCTTGAAAAATCTCCTATATTAGGAAGAGACAAAAAAACTATTATCATAAAAGTAATCAAATTTTCTCTTAATATTAGACACTTGAAAGCATATCTGCTTAAAATCCCACAGAACTGGAAAATATATGACTAAGTACTAAGGTACTAACAATGGGAATTAAAATTATCATAACCTAGAAATCTAGCAAAAAAATTTTTTCAGATATAAGAACAAAGGGCAGCAAGAAGAGGATGACAGATGTATCAAATAATGTTTCAATCTTGAAAACAAAACTCAGGTAAGTATGGGTACATTAAAATCTCAGATTTCACCACTATACAATTCATCGATGTAACCAAAAACGACTTGTACCCCGAAAGCTATTAAAATAAAAAAAATTTTTAAACCCAAAAATATCTATACCATTTCCTAGTACTTCTGCCTGAGAACAGAAAAATAAATCAGTGAGATTGAAACAAATGCATTTCAGTAACACCTTCAGTTTATCCATCTATAAGATGTTCTTATTCTTAATCGAATAATCATTGGAAAAGTTGTAACTTATGATAGTGTACATACGTTTTATTATTGGCCTAAATATTTACGGTAAACTATATACATTCCATAAATCTTAAGTTTATACTTTAGATTTCATATTTAAGTGATTTCATAGCTGCAGAACTTTTTCTTTCTTTCTTTCGCTTTTAAAGAGATGGTATCTCACTCTGTTACCCAGGCTGGAGTGTCGTATGGTATGATCATGGCTCACTGGGCTCCCACCTCAGCCTACCAAGTGGCTGGGACCACAGCCACATGCCACCATGCCTGGCTAATTTATTTTTTAATTGTTTTTTGTAGAGATGGGGTCTCTCTATGATGTCCAGTCTGGTCTTGAACTCCTGGGCTCAAGCGATCCTCCCCAGCTCAGCTTCCCGAGTAGGTGGGACTACAGATGCACACCACCATGTTTGGCTTATTTTTGTATTTTTTTGTAGAAACAGGATTTTACCATGTTGCCCAGGCTGGGCTCAAGCAATCCTCCTGCCTTGGCCTTCCAAAGTGCTGGCTGGGATTACAGCTGTGAGCTACCACGTCTGGCCAGGTCTTTTTCCTACAGCAAACAACCCTAATGGCTTTGTTAATAACATGGATTATTATCTACATACTGGCATTAAAATGATGTAAAAAATTAGGAAAATTGATATTTTCCAAAGCAGTATAACGTAAGTAGGCTATGAAACATGTAAATAAATAATCAAGGTTTAAGGACTTTCATTTTGCAAAGGCTATAAATGACTAGTTTTTTTTTTTTTTTTTTTTTTTTTTTTAAAAAAAAGGGACAAACCCAAATACCTGAGAAAGCAGTCAGTCAGTAAAAAAGCTTGAAGTAGGCCTGCTATAAAACAATAGGTACTATCTGCCTACTCTGGACAAACTGGAACACCTGCCTAGTTATATGCATTCCCCCACCGTATTCATTTTATTAAAAATTGAGGGCTGGTCGCAGTGGCTCACATCTGTAATCCCTGCACCTTGGGAGTCCAAGGCATGTGGATCACCTGAGGTCAGGAATTCTAGATCAGCCTGGCCAACATGATGAAACCTGTCTCTATTAAAAATACAAAAACTTAGCTGGGCACAGTGGTGGCACCTGTAATCCCAGCTACTCAGGAGGCTGAACCAGGAGAACTGCTTGAACCTGGGAGGCAGAGGTTGCAGTGAGCTGAGATAGCACCACTGCACTCCAGCTTGGGCAATTAAGAGCAAAACTCTATCTCAAAAAAAAAAAAAAAAAAAAACAATTGAGGTAAAATTTACATACAATAAAAAATACAGAATTTTAAGTAAACTGTTCAAAGAGTTTTGACAAATTATATTTTAAAACTATCTAATGGTTAAAACACTTCTGCCTGTTGCCATCACAGTTTAAAAGTCTCATGAATCATTATATTTGCCTATCAGAATGGAGACCTAATATCAGATTTAGAATATCCTGTGCCATTTAGGGAGAAAAACCTCTGCAATTCCTCTATTAATATATTTTATATCAGAGAAGGAGTCTTCTTTAAAAGAGTAGATATAATTATATATTGCATGTGGTTATGTTAAAAATATAAAACTTATTCTAAAATAACAAATATCATTTTCTAGTCTTCAAGTTATAAAAAAAGATCAGACATTAACTATCCTACATCTTCATTTTTAAAAATCTCAATCTATTAGTTCTTAGCTTTTAAGATAAATATCATGAAGGTACCAAAAACGATGCTTATTTTGTTAAAACTTTGCAAATGTACAATGAAAATTTGTGCATTTCACTGTATGTAAATTTTACATGAGGAAAACCTCAAAATTTAAAAATACATATACCCAACATGCAAAATGGCTCAGATAGCATAAATTATTTGTTTTTGAAAAACGGGGAAAAAGTGCATATAAAGAACAACATACAAAAATGCCTATGGAATGAGTAAATATACTTGTGCTTTCACACAAAGAAGTTTAAAAAAAGCCAAGCAATTTAAAAAATAGATAAAATAATATGTACAACATGCTCATAACTATGTATAAAAGTATCTCTGTTCACCTTTTTCTACCACTACCAGCACTACCACCAGAATTAAAAGTATACTAAGCAACTGGGTTTCTCAGTCTTGGTACCATGACATTTCTGGTTGGATAATTCTTTGTTATAGGAGACTGCATTGTAAGATGTGCACCATAAGATGTGTAGCATTAACCCTTGCCTTCCCCAGAAAGCAGTAACACTCACCCCTTCCCCAGTTATGACAACTAAAAATGTCTCTAGAGTTGCCAAATGTCCAATGGGAGTAGAATGGGCCCTTGTTTTAAGAACCACTGATATGCCACCAACAGCTTCCTAACAAGTCTAACAACACCCTGCCATCCTTCCTTGTTTCCATTCCCGTCTACATACACACTAAGAGATGCACTTTGTGATCTTTTTGAAGTGTGTATCTGATGATGTCAAATCATGAATTATATCTTTAATTGTTCTTAGGATGAAGTTCTAACTTTTTTTTTTTTTGAAACAGGTTTTCATTCTGTCACCAGGCTTGAGTACACTGGGACGATCTTGGCTAACTGCACAAATCTCAATATCCCATGCTCAAGCAAGCCTTGCACCTCAGCCTCCCAAGTAGCTGGGATTACAGGTGCACACCACCACATTCGGACTAATTTTAAAAAAATTTTTGCAGAGACAAGATCTCATTGTATTGCTCAGGCTGGTTTCAAACTCCTGGGCTCAAGCTATCCTAATGCCTCAGCCTCCCAAAGTATTGAGATTATAGGCAAGAGCCACCCTGCCTAGCCTCCTAACTTTCTCCTAACACACTGTACATGATCTGGATGATATGGCCTTTCCCTACCTCTCAATCTTGTTAAGAATCAAACTCTTATTCTCTTCGTTCTAGACCTTTAAACATGCTAGGGTCTACCATCTCTTTTCCTCAATCTTCTCCTGTCTTTTTTACATTCTCTCATTGACTATAAGGCTCTTCACACTTCATCTTACCCTTGCCTGATGAACTCCTACTTACCCTTCAGATCTCAGGAAAACTAAAGCTTTATCAAAACCCATGTGGAACTCACTGGCCAGGTCAAGTATCTGTTGAAGCTCACAGTGTACCATTCCTTTGCAACTTGTCACTGTAGCAATTTTGCCTTTATTTATGTAATTATGGCTACTCCTTCATGCACATGATAGCAAAAATGATGTGTATTTTGCCTTTCACTGTATTCCCTAGAGGCTAGACCACAGTAGGTACACATTAAATAACTTATCAATGAAATGAACGGAAACACACATGCTTACAAATACACCACACATAAAGACTAAGTTAAGATCGATTATTCTTAGGTAGTAGCATTGTATATGAACTCTAAAATAATTGTATTTTCCAAATTTCCTCTAACATTAATTACTTGTATAACCAGAAAAAAAAAAATGTATGTATACCTAAAGGTTGCAGCAAATATCTTCTAGTGTTGAAGATCCTTGCTACTCCAGCCAATGTTAATACCCATGTCTCAGCCCATTGCTTTTCTGCTGTGTCCCTTGAATGATGAATGAGAATATTGCCACCTCCAGACTCAATCTTTTCTTTGTCTGCAGTGGTAGAGGACTCTCGAACTCTGTCCAGTAGATGAAAGAGTACCTAAATATTTATAAAAATGTCATATAAAAAGCATTGATAATATAGTTTAAGTAATCGCATAGGAGCAACAGCAGCATAAGAATCTAGCAAGTGTTACAAAAATATACTTGACAATCTTATCAATCTCTATATATTGGAGGAAATTGATCAACAGACGTAATTATACACTCCTTTTTTTTTTTTTTTTTAAGAAGAAGCCTTGCTGTCACCCAGGCTGGAGAGCACTGGTGCGATCTCAGCTCACTGCAACCTCCACCTCTTGGGTTCAAGTGATTCTCCTGCCTCAGACTCCTGAGTAGCTGGGATTACAGGAGCCCGCCAGCATGCCCAGCTAACTTCTGTATTTTTAATAGAGATAGGGTTTCATCATGTTGGCCAGGCTGGTCTCAAACTCCTGATCTGAGGTGAGCCACTCGCCTCAGCCTCCCAAAGTGCTGGGATTACAGGTGTGAGCTACAGTGCCAGGCCTTAATTATACATTCTTAAGTTTATCATGTAATACAAAAAATTAAGGCTGGGCACAGTGGTTCACATCTGTAATCCTGGCACTTTGGGAGGCCAGGGTGGGCAGACTGCTCGAGCCCAGGAGTTCAAGACCAGCCTGTGCAAAAATGGTGATGCCCAGTCCCTACAAAAAAAATATAAAAATTAGCCAAATGTTGTGGTATACATCTGTAGTCCCAGCTACTTGGAAGGCTAAGGTGAGACGATCACCTGAGGCCCCAGGGAAGGTTGAGGTGGCAGTGAGCTTTGATTATGCCACTATACTCCAGCCTGGGCAGTGGAGTGAGATCCTGTCTCAAAAAAAGAAATTAAAATTAACTGGATAAAATATAAGACTTGTTGAGGTATCAGTGGAGGATCTATGGGGTAATGTATAAGAAAAACACAAAGCTAAGGAGAGGAGTCCAGGACAAAAGTACAATTATCAGAGCTGGCTTGTACCTGTAATCCCAGTGCTTTGGAAAGCCAAAGTGGGGAGGATTGCTTGAAGCCTGGAGTTTAAGAATAGCCAGGGCAACATAGTGAGACTGTCTCTACAAAAAAAAGTTTTTAAATTAGTGTAAGCCTATAGTCTCAGCTACTCAAGAGGCTGATGTGGGAGGATCAAGCCCAGCAGGTCAAGGTTGTAGTGTGCTATAATCTGACCACTGCACTTAAGCCTGAGTGACAGAGCAAAACGCTATCTCACACACAAAAAAAGACCAACTGTAGGATATGAACAATTTCTGTGTTCTCAGAGTGTAGTCTCTGAACTAATACCAGCAACATCAAATATCACCCAGGAACTTGATAGAAATGGAAATTCTCAGGCCTCACTCCAGGCCAAAATAATCAGAACCTCAGGCTAGGGGAGAGCAGACAACAGTGGCTCATCAATCTATGCTTTAACAAGTCTTCAAGGTGATTCTGTTACATTTTAATGTTTAAGAGACTGAAGTAGAATAATCTGGAAATGAATTACAGAAAATAAGACAATGCAAGGAGTGTGAGAAAAAAATCATTAACAATTAGGTAGCAAAAAGATAAAAAATGAAGTTGCTTGAAAAGAAAATAAGAATCAGAAAAGTATTAGATTAAAAACAAATTGTAAGGGAGAATTAAGCATGTCTGTGATCTCAGGAGGAACTATGGGATGGAACTGAAATATAAGACAGAAGGAAAGAGGGCTTTTACTATAATACACATAATTTTGTTACTTTAAAAAATAAAAATTAGAATGTGAAAAAAGAAAACAGGGCATTGGATTATTTTATTTGGGACCATATAGTGTTATTTATATATATATATATATATATATATATAAATTTGAGACAGTTCACTCTGTCACCCAGGCTGGCATGCAGTGACATGATCTTAGCACACTACATCCTCCACCTCCCAGGTTCAAGAGATTCTCGTACCTCAGCTTCCCAAGTAGCTGGCTTTATAGGAGTGCACCACCACACCCAGCTAATTTTTTTAAAATTTTAGTAGATATGGGGTTTCACCGTATTGGCCAGGTTGGTCTTAAACCCCTGACCTCAGGTGATCCTCCTGCCTCAGCCTCCCAAAGTGCTGGGGTTACAGCCGTGAACTACCATGCCTGGCCTATTAATTTTTTAAGAAGGCATTTTGGGGTCTATTAATTTGAAAAACTCACAAAAACAAGTGAAAGGATTATAAATAGGATTCTATCATAATGGAACAGATGGAACAAAAAAGAAGAGACTTTTAGCAAAGAGGAAATGATTACTAATAAGCTGCTGATTTTGTTAGGATGTTTCAAAAGAAGAAAAAAACTGAAACTGTAATTTAATGAATAAACATTATATGTACAATATATCATTTGGAGGTTACTTTTATTTGGTGGGTCTGCAAGTAAATTTCAGTGCTATTAATATTCGTCTGTTTATAAAATTATCTTTTGATTCTATTTAAATTACAAATCTATAAGTAGATCTCAAAAGTAAAACAAACAAAAACCCTAAAAGCTTTCCACTCTATTGTAAGGGACTGATTATCCTTTATAGTTTAGTAACTCCTAGTTTTTAACATTTGGGAAAACGGGGGAAAAAGAGACAAAGGCAGAAATCAAGAGAGACAATAAGAGATGAGAACAGAAACAGAGATAAAGCTGTTAATATTTAATTTGCTCCCTGTGAGGTACAACTTACAACATGACACAGCTAATAGTTCCTGTTTTGTCAAACATACAAATGCATGGAAATTCTTTAAAAATTAAAAGAAACAAGTTTAAATGAAAAAGTATTAATATAAAAGCATATCTCATTAAAAGCTGATAGTCCAATCTATTTTACAATACCTTCCAAATAACAGTGTGCCAGGTTGAATGCTGTAATAAAGTTCCATGTGCACCAATCGTAGAAAACAGAGTTTGCCCTGCACTCTTCCTGACAGCAGGACGAGGATCCACGCAGAGTTCACCCAGTTTTGCATAAAGACATAACCACAAGCAATCAAATGGTGGTGCAGGGTGGAATGGCCGATTTAAAACAACTCCTTTCTCTTCTGCCTGCTTTTGCTGTAATGCCTCTTCCTTATTTAGTTCTTTTTCAATAGTTTCCCCTCGTTGGAAAAAATAATCTGAAATATTCCACTAAAAAGCAAAGTAAAAAAATATTAGTTTATTCAAGGTTTCATTTTAAACACATAACTATGCAACATGTAGTTGTTTTACCTTTCACAGTAAAACTTTAAAACAATTACTTCAAAAATCTCTTTCCTAGTAGACTAAGTTCAGTGAAACACCTCTTCCTCTATTAGTATCTCTACATGATTTCAGGAGAAAGTGGAGAAACAATCTTCTGCTAACATTTATTTTTTTACTTTTTTAATATAAAAAATGGTGATTAATGATCAGTGATCTTTGATTCAACTATTGTAACTATTTTGGGGCACACAGCCGCACTTATGTAAGATGGCAAACTTAATGTGAGTTTTCTGACTCTTTCATCGTCGGTTTGTTTCCTCATCTTTTTATTTCTTCTCAGGCTTCCCTATTCCTTGAGATACAACAACAGTGAAGTTAGGCCAGTTAATAACCCTACAATGACCTGTAAGTGTTCAAGTGAAAGGAAGAGTCGCATTTCTCTCGCTTTTAATCAAAAGCTAGTAATAATTAAGCTAAGTGAGGAAGGTATGCTGAAAACCAAGACAGGCCAAAGCTAGACTTCTTGTGCCAGTGAGTCAAGTTGTGAATGCACAGGGTAAGTTATTGAAGGAAACGAAAAGTGTTACTCTAAAGGAAAAACAAATGATTACAAGGTACACCAGCCTTACTGATGATAACAAGAAAATTTTAGTTGTCTGGATAGAAGGTCAAACCAGCCACAAGATTCACTTAAGCCAAAGCCTAATCCAGAGCAAGGCCCCAACTCTCCACAATTCTATAAAGTCTAAACAAGGTGAAGAATCCGCAGATGAAAAGTCTGAAGCTAGCAGGGGCTAGTTCAGAGGTTTAAGGAAAGCGTTATCACCATAACCTACAACTACAAGGTGAAGCAGCAAGTGCTGATGGAGAAGCTGTAGCAAGTTATCCAGATCTCCCTAAGATCACTGATGAAGGTGACTACACTGACCAACAGATTTTCAGTGTAGACAAAACAACCTTCTTATTTTACTTTTTTAAAAGAGACAAGGTCTGGCTCTGTTGCCAAGCCTGGAGTGCAGTGGTATGATCATAACTCACTGCAGTCTCCAAGTCCTGGGCTCAAGCAATCCTCCCATGTAGCTAAGACTACAGGCGCACACCATCATACACAGCTAATTTTTAGTAGAGATGAGGGGTCTCACTTTATTGCACAGGCTGGTCTCAAAACTCCTGGCCTCAGCAATCCTTCCACCTCAGCCTCTCAAAGTGCTGGAATTATAGGCATTAGCTACCACGCCCAGCCTGAAACAACCTTCTACTGGAAGATGTCATGTAGGACTTTCATGGCTAAAGATAAAAAGTCAATGCTTGGCTTCAAGGCTTCAAAGTACAGGCTGATTTTCTTGTCAGATACTAATATAACTGGTTCACATTAAAGTCAACTGAAGATTTCCTTTGTATATACTATAGTTTACTAAATCCTTTCATGACAAACCCTTCCGGGTTTGACAAGCCAAACTTCAGCTCAATGTACGAAATTTATTTCAAACATTTGGCCATTAATATTTAAGTGATGTTATTTAATCCTTCATGCAGATTTAAGTTTGAAATTTAAAAGTCATATAAATAATACGCAAAGAGCTAAAAGTATATTTGCTTAGCATTCATTCCCAACTGAATAACAATGATTTCTAAATTATATTATATTTTAAGGACAATGATACTTACCAATAAACCTATTGAGGTTAAACTAATATTAAGTTCTTGGTTATGGAGACCAAAGCTACCTGCAACATCTACAACTATTTGTAGGCAAGTACAAGGCATTGTTGGCAGAAAATCTGTCACAACCAACTGAAGACACTGGAATGCAGTTCGTATCAAGGATTCTCTGAAAACAAAAGAAATGTATACAGATGCAATTATTTTATTTATTTATTTATTTTTGAGACAAGGTCTTACTCTGTCACTTAGGTTGGAGTGCAGTGGTGTAATCATGCCTCACTCTCAACCTCCCATGATCATATGTTCCCCCGACCTCAGCTTCCCCAGTAGCTGGGACTACAGATGCACACCACCATGCCTTTTTTGGTGTGTGTGGAAACAGGGTCCCACTATGCTGCCTTGGCTGGTCTCAATTTCCTGGGCTCAAGTGATCCTCCTGCCTCGGCCTCCCAAAGTTTACATTTACGATTATAGGCCATGAGCTACCACAACCAGCCTTAATTATGCATTTAAAAGAAATGTGTAAAAATACCTATCTTACAATAATTTGAATGAAGTAAAATTTTATTTTAGAATTTAAGCAAGAAACTCTTTCCTCATATAGATCATAAAGTATTTTAACATTTACATAAATGTAAAATAGATACACTTACTTAAATTAACAAAAACAAAGAAGCTTGCAGGTAATGAGATAAAAACAAATTAAAAAAATAAAGTATTAATAGCATATTATTTCTATTTGTATGTCATACCGACTAACCAAAAAAAAAAAAAAGTAGACAATAAATGAGAATGGGAAGTTAGCCAGTTACTTTTCTCCTCACTGTATCCCTGGTATCTAGTAAAGTGCCCAGTAAATGTAAATACACACAATTTACTGAAAAAGAGCTCCTCATTCTTTTATATCTATACTACATCTTATTTAAATCTCCAAAGAAAATAAATCCCACATCCAGTCTGTGAGAAAAGAGTAAATTTTGAATTTCAAATAAAGATAACAACTATTTGGTTTTGGAGAAAAATTCTGATGGTAAAAACAATAATGAAAATGGTAAGGATAACTGCTAATACTCTGAATGCTTAGTATGTCACATACTTTCCAAGTGTTTTACACCTATTAATTCATTACATCCTTACTACAATGCCCTATGTAATATATCACATTATAGGCTAGGAGAAGACACTTAAGCTTGATCTAAGCTGATCTCGTTTCAATTTAATCATCTCAATATTTTGTAGTGCTTAAAGAATTTTATTACTATATGGCCGGGCACGGTGGCTCAAGCCTGTAATCCCAGCACTTTGGGAGGCCGAGGCGGGTGGATCACGAGGTCAAGAGATCGAGACCATTCTGGTCAACATGGTGAAACCCCGTCTCTACTAAAAATACAAAAAATTAGCTGGGCATGGTGGCACGTGCCTGTAATCCCAGCTACTCGGGAGGCTGAGGCAGGAGAATTGCCTGAACCCAGGAGGCGGAGGTTGCGGTGAGCCGAGATCGCGCCATTGCACTCCAGCCTGGGTAACAAGAGCGAAACTCCGCCTCAAAAAAAAAAAAAAAAAAAAAAAAAATTATTACTATAAACATTTAAGAAAAATTAACTTTCCATAATAGTCTCAAGCATCTTGGTCACCTATAACTCTTTAGTCATCAAAGCAAGACAGTGTGTTACTACAGAATTACAGAAAAATATATCCAATGTCTGCTGAATCTCTCCACTGCAGTCTCCTACACCAAAAGTTAAACAAGTCCATTATGTCCCCTCCAAATTTGTCCATCCTTGTATATTCCCTATTTCGTTAATGATACTACCATCCCCCACTAAACTGCCTAAGTCAGAAATCTGGAAGACATTCCTGATTGCTATTTTTTCCTTTGCCCCTACAGTCTATCTGTTAAGTAGTTCAAATCTCTCTCTTATTTCTAGTGAGTATTCGTAGGCATTCTCATTTCCCACTCTCCCCTCCATGATGCTGTCACAGTTATATCTATCATATTCTTATGTGATTACATCACTCCTCTGCTTAAAATCCCAAAATGTCTTTCAACTGTATTCAGGATACATTCAAAACACTTACAAAAGCACATAAGATTTCCTTCATAATTTTGGCTCTGTCCTCCTCCTGCTGAAGGTTGCTTCTTTTGTGGCATAACAAACTACAGTCACGTATTGCTTACTGACAAGGATATGTTCTGAGAAATGTGTCATTAAGCGATTCTGCTGCTGTATGAACATCACAGAGTGTACTGACACAAATCTAGATGACAGAACCTACTACACACCTGGGCTATATCTCATCACGCAACTATACTTTCTTACTAGGATTCTACATCTAGGGCAGGAGCTACTTACCTATGTAATCAGAATAACTATCAAGCATTGTAATACACTAAGCACAGAATAAATGTTTAATAAATCAAAAATTAATGAAAAGGTCACTTTAAAGCAATTTCTGACTGTCTAATATATATAGTGAGGTCAAGCCCTAACTGCTGTTTCACATCTTATCAAATAATGTATTTATTTCAACAAAACAAAATTACCCCATCTTTGGATGTGTTATAAAATTTGTTAGATTGTTTCATGTATCTTAGCATAAGTAAGAATCATGTATTCTTGCATGAATGTCAAATAAACAGCAATTTTTTTCATCCTTCCAAACAAAAAGTGATCTCTAAGTTCCCTGTAACCACTTAGGGGTAGAGGTAAGAAAAACTCTTATAGATCTTAGCCTTAAGCAGCAAGAACATTAAAAAAATGACCACTATTTCAAGATTTTAGGATGGACTCCTTTTCTACTCTATCATTTTTTAATGTTAATTTTATTTATATTTTATTTTTCATATTTTTTCTCAAATAATTTTAAACACCCATGAACATTTCTGACTGCTCCCATGTTTATTTTTCATATATATATTTTCTCAAATAATTTTACATACTTACCCTTGATCATTTCTGATTGCTCCCATGACTCCAAGCACTAATGGCCATCCAGGCCCAAGACTGTCTCCCTGACTCTGCAGAATCTGCAACACACATTCTAACTGCTTGAGTCGAATATCCGGATGATTAATATTGGACATCTCCTTTAGTGGGTTCAATAAAAGCAACTGCAGCCTCTGAAAAGGGGGCAAGAAACTAATTAGAAAGAGAAATCAAAAAAATACAAGAAGACTTTTCTGTTGCTTTTTAAGTTTAAATTCATTAAATTCATCTCCATTCAGACTACCACGGTAAATGGAAATTTTTTTTTTTTTTTTAGATGGAATCTTGTTCTGTCACCTAGGAGACTGGAGTACAGTAGTGCAATCTCAGCTCACTGCAACCTCCGCCGCCTTAGTTCAAGTGATCTTCCTGCCTCAGCCTCCTGAGTAGCTGGGATTACGGGCATGCACCATCATCCCTGGCTAATTTTTGTATTTTTAGTACAGACAAGGGTTTCACCACATTGGCCAGGCTGGTCTTGAACTCCTGACCTCAGGTGATCTGCCCACCTTGGCTTCCCAAGGTGCTGAGATTACAGGCGTGAGCCACCACGCCTGTTCAGAATTATTCTACTAAAATAAACATCAAATATCATTTATTCAACAATAATTATTAAAGGCAAATCTATCTCTATTTTTAAATGAGAGAAAAAAAAACCTTCAAGACGTTAGATTTTAGGCAAATGGGTGGTTATCTTACTTTAAAAGATATTAATTATAAACCCATAAATAACAGAAATGAACTTCACGACAGGAAATATATCTCTAGCTATATTTGGAGAGAGGAAATCAATTCCTAATTTCTAAAATGACCTTTCGTTTACTTTATTAATGTATATCATATGTATTTAAATTTAAAATTCTCAAACGTGATATAGTAGTAGAAGCTATACTTCTAAAAAACGAATAAATGTAGCAGATACTGACAAAGATGACATAAAACCAAGAAATCTGTCGGAAAGTTTAAAAAAAAAAGCATTCTATCTATCCCTTTCAGCATCTGAAAACCCTTGCTTCATTCTTAACTTTCTTTTGATTCATTTATTTGGTTCATTCACTGAAAAAACATTTCTAAGCTTTCACTATGCACCAAGTATTAAGCTGGACGTTGAGGATATCAAAATAAATGATAAAGGGTGTTATTTTTTTTTTTTAATTCGAATTGTTTCAGAAGAACATATGAAATCACTAAAATATAAGCTCTGTAAGCTTTATCTTTTCTGTCTTCTTCATCATCCTATTCAAAGAGCCGTATTCAACAATTATGTGTTAACTGAATTTCTGGAATACAATTATGATACAGTAAGATGATGAGGGCAATTGGAACGGTTATTAAATGCCTCATTCTGCGCTTGCTTCAGTAGTACATATACTAAAATTGGAATGATACAGAGATTAGCACAGCCCCCATGAAAATTTGTGATGTACTCCATATTTTTATTTAAAAAGTTAAAAAATAAATAAATGCGTTGTTCCTACTCAGTCTTGAAACAATAAAACTTTGGTAGACTTTTTTAAAAATGGGTATCAAGGCTGGGCGCAGTGGCTCATGCCTGTAATCCCAGCACTTTGGGAGGCCAAGGCGGGTGGATCTTAAGGTCAGGAGTTTGAGACCAGCCTGACCAACATGGTGAAACCCCGTCTCTACTAAAAAGACAAAAATTAGCCAGCCGTAGTGGCGCATACCTGTAATCCCAGCTACTTGGGAGGCTGAGGTAGGAGAATCACTTGAACCCGGGAGGCAGAGGTTGCAGTGAGCTGAGATCGCACCACTGCACTCCAGCCTGGGTGACAGAGCGAGACTTTGTCTCAAAGGAAAAAAAAATGGTACAAATAATAAAGAAAGTCAGGACATAGAATTCTGGAAGTAAAAAATAATTTAAATTATGTTAAAATAAAAATCTACTTCATTGTGCTTGTTTCTTCTGCCACTTATTTTCTTCCTACTTACATAGGGTAGTGAGAGAGAGAGAGAGAGAGAGGAAAAAAAAAAAAAAAAAAAAAAACAGAGACAGGTAAAGACCAAAGCAAAACAGGCGCCAAAACAACACTTTGGCACTGCATAAATAGGAAAACTTATGACTATGAGACCAATTCTTGGTAATTTAACTTAGTTTAGTTTAACCTCTGTAGTTTAATCTTAGTTAAACTAACTTAGTTTAATTTAACCTAAATTACTTTAATCTTAATTTAACCTTCTGTAAGAGATTCAGAGCCTACATATAAAACAGAATATTAAGTTAAAAACCCCACTCTTAGATACTATCTACTTGATAAATTAAGAAAAAAATCACATATGGAGGAGAAAGAGTTTATATTGAGAATTTTTTTTTAAAAGTAAGGTTTTTATTACCTGGTTTTGTGAAAGTGGAGGATCATGGTTAAATGTTAATCCTGCTTTAATAAGGGAAGTTAAAGCTTCTGCTCCCCATTCTCTCATTCGAGAGTTTGGATGCTGGCAGACCTGAAGGTATATAAAATTAAAAGTTTAATTTGTGTACTTCAGCTATAAATCACACATCAATTTTATATTTTAAAAGTTGTATTAAATATTCAATAAGCATTAGAAGAAAAATTATACCCAAAATGTAAGTGAGCTTACCTTCTGAATAAGAGCAAGAGCAAGCAATAGAGAGACAGAAGAAAAAAGATGAAACTAAAACAATTCACAGAAAAGAAAGGATTTCATAAAAGTAAATTATATATCATCAGGGTAAACAAAAGAGGCAAACTAATACCAAGGTTCTTAATTTAATTTCATTAATCAAATAATATGTCAAAATTCAAAAAATTTTATTGGTTGCCCTGTGATGAGACCATCCAATAATGAAGAAATCTGCATAAAGCCTTTAATCATTCATGAAAGTAATCCCAATAAAATGGGGGGAAGTTCACGTACATCTGTTTTTCTTATTTTATTTTATTTATTTATTTATTTTTTGAGACATGCTCTCTCACTCGGTTACCCATCCTGTAATGCAGTGGCACAATCATGGCTCACTGCAGCCTCAACCTCCTGGATTTAACCAATTCTCCCCATTTAGCCTCCCAAGTAATTAGAACTACAAGCATATATCATCAAGCCCAGTTACTTTTTTTAAATTTTTTGTAGAAATGGTGTCTCCCTATGTTGCCCAGCTTGGTCTTGAACTTCTGGGCTTAAGCAATCCTCCCACCTCAGCGTCACAAAGTGCTGAGATTTTAGTTGTAAACTACTGAAGTTTATAAGACCTTTCGTAGGTTTCTAAATAACATAAAAGGACTATGGTAACCTAAACCTAAACTGTACACAAACACATGTACTGGCAGAAGCAGGTTGTTTTTAAGCAGAAACTATTCAGAATCACCTTAACCTGAATGTCAGACAATGTAAATCTAGGGAAAATTCTCTAGCACTATCTATAATTAGTGATACCAAACCGTTTTTCCCTTAGCAGAAAGCTAGCTCATCATCAAGGCCAAGAACAGTGGCTCACGCCTATAATCCAAGCACCTGGGAGACTGAGGCTGGCAAATCACCTGAGGTCATGAGTTCAAGACCAGCCTGGCTAATATGGTGAAATCCTATCTCTACTAAAAATACTAAAATTAGCCAGGTGTGGTGGTATGTGCCTGTAATCCTAGCTACTCAGGAGGCGAGGCAGGAGAAACGCTTGAACCCAGGAGGTGGAGAGTGCGGTGAGGTGGGATCGTGCCACTGTGCACCAGCCTGTATGACAGAGTAACACTCCATCTCAAAAAAGGAAAAAAAGCTATCTCATGATGATAGCAAAGGCTATAAATGAGCAGTGTTTACTATTAACTCTATGCCCTAACTGCCTTGAAGTTTCAGAACTACCTGAAACTAAGGCGGATCAAGAGACTGTATAATAAAAGGGGTATCAAGCTAACAGCTGATTTCACTGATATTTCTCATTTTAAAATGTCACCCATTTTCAGCCAGTAAAAGCAACCAATTCCGTCATCAAATAAAATACAAAACAACTTTAGTCCTTGATAAAATGTACAAACATAAGTAAGTGCAGGCTCAGGAAAAGGGGAATAAAGTTAATGCTGATTTTTAAAATGGCTATCTAGAATCATCAGTTCAGTGTGCAAGGCTTTATAAAATAATTAAATATATTTAAGAAAGAGAATTTACCTCAAGTAGATGGCCAGTCAGAGGTCTCCACAGAATTTCTATTCGGTGCATATTAACTAAACCAGTTTCTAACAATTTGGCAACAGCAAAAAGAGATGGTTCCTAGGGAGAAAATATATTGATATTATAAGGAGAAAACTGAGAATACTCTGAAGAGCATGACTGAAATTAAAACGATTAGTTAGTACACAGTTAATAAATACAACAAAATCTTGGTTTATCAAAGACAAACCTTCCCGCCAACCTTAAATATCCAGAATAGCTCCTAATTTGAAAATTTGGTTAGGAGAAAAATGTTTTAATAGGGAAGGTGTGAGAATCCAAAAATTATACTAGACACATAGAATGGCTAGACCAGAAGAAAAGAAGCATTCTTATCAGCAAAGTCTTAAAATGACCAGGCTTTATGTGTGAATGTCAAGAAGTAGGGGAAAAAAGGGACAGCCGAGACAAAGGAAAAGAAAAATGAAATCAAGAGTACGGCAGAGATCAGGCTGTCAGTCCAGATACTAATAGAACAGAAGAGAACATGAAGACAAAAGAGTTTTCTATAGTCCCTGACATTATCAATAATCAGAAAGGGAACCAGGGTACATTATATATGGCTAAATGGGAGTACTTGGTCCATTTGTCACAAGCATGGTTTAAGAAAAGATCAAAGGGCAGTTATCTCTAATCAAATCTTAATGAAGGTAATAAAACATGTTTAAATACAAAATCAGCTGATGAAAGCCATGAGTATTTTCTGGTGGATGGGTGTGGTATTTCAAACAGAGATAATGTATTTAAAAAAAGACAACTGAATAAAAAAGGAAAAATTAACTCCAGATGGATTACAGATTTAAACGTAAGACCTAACACTATAAAAACACCAGAAGAAAACCTAGGCAATACCATTCAGGACATAGGCATAGGCAAGGACTTCATGACTAAAACACCAAAAGCAATGGCAACAAAAGCCAAAACAGACAAATGGGATCTAAATAAACTTAAGAGCTTCTGCACAGCAAAAGAAACTATCATTAGAGTAAACCTGCAACCAACGGATTGGGAAAAAAATTTTGCAATTTACCCATCTGACAAAGGGCTAATGCTCAAAATCTACAAAGAACTTAAACAAATTTACAAGAAAAATACAAACAACTCCATCAAAAAGTAGGCAAGGGATATGAACAGACACTTCTCAAAATAAGACATTTATGCAGCCAACAAACATGAAAAAATGCTCACCATCACTGGTCATTAGAGAAATGCAAATCAAAACCACATTGACTGAGAATGGCAATCATGAAAAATTCTGGAGACAACAGATGCTGGAGAGGGTGTGGAAAAATAGGAACACTTTTACACTGTTGGTGGGAGTGTAAATTGGTTCAACCATAGTGGAAGACAGTGTGGCGATTCCTTAGGGATCTAGAAGTAGAAATACCATTTGACCCAGCAATACCATTAATGGGTATATACCCAAAGGATTATAAATCCTTCAATTATAAAGCCATACGTACACGTATGTTTATTGCAGCACCGTACACAACAGCAAAGACTTGGAACCAACCCAAATGCCCATCAATAATAGACTGGGTAAAGAAAATGCGGCACCAAGGACTACTATGCAGCAAGGACTACTATGCAGCCGTAAAAAAGGATGAGTTCATGTCCTTGTGAAGGACATGGATAAAGCTGGAAACCATCATTCTCAGCAAACTAACACAAGAACAGAAAATCAAACACATGTTCTTACTCATAACTGGGTGTTGAACAGTGAGAACACATGGACACAGGGAGGGGAACATCACACACCGGGGCCTGTTGCGGGGTGGGGGAGCTAGGGGAGGGATAACAGGGGTTGGGGAGATTGGTGAGGGATAACAGGAGAAATACCTAATGTAGATGATGGGAGGATGGATGCAGCAAACCACCATGGCATGTGTATACCTACGTAACAATCCTGAACAATCCACACATGTACCCCAGAACTTAAAGTAAAATAAACAGATAGAAAATAAAGAGAATAATTTAATTTTTAAAGAAAAGACTTTTTATAGATTCTGTATTCTTAACATTTTTACAGTGCTGACAAAAATCTAACAGGGAAATATGTGATAATATCTTCCTTTCTAGCAGAAGCCAGTGAACCAATTATATTGGGGTTTTAAGATGAATATGGTCAGGTTGATCCTTCCTGCATGTGATGTGCCAGACACCCTAAAATTTTTGGTGGTAGAAAAGTTCATGATTCTAGGGAGAATATGGTATAGTGGTTAAGATGATGTCTGTGAAGTTTTAACTGTTTGAGATTCCATCTCAACTCTACTGCTTAATAGCTATATAACCTTGGGTAACCTATGTACCTCTACTGAATATTTTTATTTTTTAAACCTAAAAAATGAAGATAATAAGCCGGGCGCAGTGGCTCAAGCCTGTAATCCCAGCACTTTGGGAGGCTGAGGCGGGTGGATCACGAGGTCGAGAGATCGAGACCATCCTGGTCAACATGGTGAAACCCCGTCTCTACTAAAGATACAAAAAATTAGCTGGGCATGGTGGCACGTGCCTGTAATCCCAGCTACTCAGGAGGCTGAGGCAGGAGAATTGCCTGAGCTCAGGAGGCGGAGGCTGCGGTGAGCCGAGATCGCGCCATTGCACTCCAGCCTGGGTAACAAGAGCGAAACTCCGTCTCAAAAAAAAAAAAAAAAAAATGAAGATAATAATAACATAGAAAACAATTAAATTTTAGAACATGCCTGGCATATAAGTTCCCCTAAATGTTGCTGAATATTACTTCTTTATTCCTCTTCTTCCTCTTACTTATTTTAACTACGATATACCCAGGAATCATGTAAAAGGATGTACAGGTGTCCAAAGCTCACACCTGAAGATTCTTATTCAAAAATCTAGAATGTGGTCCTGGCATTTGCATTTTTTAAAAAACTGCATAGCTGATTCTGATGCACACTAAAAGTAAGCAAAGTATTTAAGAACAGAGCTTTGGAATGAGGTAAAAGTGGGTTCAAATCCAAGCTCTTCCGATAACTAAGTATGTAACCTCAGGCAGGTCACTTAAGCTATTTTTCATATTTTCATCTGTAAAAAGGGAATATTACCTAAATCTCACACAGTTGTTTTAAATGATAAAATAATATGTTAGTGCTTGGCATACAGTAAACAGTGAAGAACAGATGCTTTAATATTTTTATTGTTGTTATACTGCGCTTCTTAATGTAATTATAAAAGTATAATCTACATTATCTTCTAAGAAAGAATTTGCAAGCTTTATATTTTTTTTTGAGACAGAGTTTCACTCTGTTGCAGAGGTTGGAGTGCACTGGCGCGATCTTGGCTCACGGCAACCTTTACCTCCCAGATTCAAGCGATTCTTGTGTCTCCGCTACGAGAACAGTTGGAATTATAGGCAGGTACCACCACGCCAGGCTAATTTTTGTACTTTTGGTAGAGAAGGGGTTCCCCGTGTTGGCCAGGCTGGTTGCAAACTCCTGGCCTCAGGTGATCCACCCACCTCAGCCTCCCAAAGTGCTGGGATTATAGACATGAGCCACCGCGCCAGCCTGCAAGCTTTATCTCAAATTATTTCCACAACACATTGACATAAATTCCTGAAATGAGGATCAAAAACAAGATGCTGGTCACTTTAAAGCCACACCTAAAGATCACTGATATCTACATCTTTAATCTCTAGAATATTTAACTCACTCAGAACAGTCGATATTGATGAACATTCTTTTTTCAAGAATGTAGAAACTTTTCCACTAATTTTAGTATCTGCATATTTATAGTAATTTATATAAATGGCATAACTGAAAAACCTGTTATAGCCTCCATCTAAAAATATTTTTTAAGGTTTATGTTGAATACTTTCCTAAAGTTTATACTTGAATATTCTTATAAAGCTTTCATATGCATTCCATATTTACTTTACAAAATTAAATCCTGAAATGGAGACATGTAAATCTATTTTCAAAGATATTATCTTCATTTTACTCAGTGTATCCATTTTCTCAACAATTGTTCTGCCCAAGCCTTCCTTAAAAATCATTATCTGTTCCTACCACTCTCTGAAACTGTACTATTGAAGGTTAAAAATAAACTATTGATCATCAAATCTCCTACTTTTTTCTCAGAGGTCATGATTTCTTATAGTATTTTTCTTTTGATTTCCATTAACCTGCACTTTCCTACCTAAATCCTACCAATCTTTCAGTATGCATCTCCAATCACATGAATTCATCTTGATTAACCTTAATTCATGTTAATAAAAACATCTACCAATAACATCTTATATAACAAGGAACTAAAAATGCAGAGAATAAGTCTCATGTCATTTTATATCTGTTATTTATTGAGACTGTCATACCATCATAATTGTCACTTAACTATGAATCAAGTAGCTTATATGTTCTTTGAAGGTAGAAACCTCCTATTTCGTTATATGTCCGAGCAATGTCATGTACACAGTAAGCATACTGTGCTTGTTAAATAAATACATAAATTCTGAAAACATTACCATATAAGCTTGCTTAGATTTCTCTTTTTTTTTGGAGATGGAGTCTTGCTCTGTCACCCAGGGTGGAGTACAGTAGCGTGATCTCGGCTCACTGCAACCTTCACTTCCTGGGTTCAAGTGATTCTCCTGTCTCAGCCTCCCAAGTAGCTGGGATTACAGGCATGTGCCACTACACCCAGCTAATTAATGTATTTTTAGTAGAGACCAGGTTTCACCATGTTGGTCAGGCTGGTTTCGAACTCCTGACCTCATGATCTGCCCGTGTTCACCTTTCAAAGTGCTGGGATTACAGGGGTGAGCCACTGTGCCGGGACACTTGTTTAGATCATTAAGATACTTTATTATTTACTGCTTGCAAATCCCAGGCCTCAGGTGATCTGCCCACCTCAACCCCCCAAAATGCTGGGATTACAGGCGTGAGCCCTCATTAAGAGCAGGTTAATGGAAATCAGAAGAAAAATATTAGAAGAAATCATGATCTATGAGAAAGAAGTAGGAGACTGGATGATAAGTAGTTTATCTTTAACCTTGAATAGTGCAATTTCAGAGTGGTAGGAACAAACATGATTTTTAAGGAAGGCTTGGGTAGAACAATTCTTGACAAAATGGATACACTGAGTAAAACAGATAATTTCTTCTGAAAATAGATTTAATAAAATATTACAGTTTTATGTTAAGAATTAATCTCAAATATGTAGAATTATTAAAAATATCAAGAAATTTATTGCTTCATTATACATTACCCTTGCCTTGATTTAGAGCAAACTATAATACATACTTTCAAACACCTACATGTTTAATTATCTAGCTATGTACTATATGAAACTATACCCTAATGAGACTTTCTTCACCAATATTTAAATGAGTCACAAGAGCCAAGATGACAAGCCACAGTATACAGAATTACACCTAAGGACTAGGCAGACAGCATAATTTTGAATGCTACAGTTAGATGTTAAACAAATTACAGTTTTTAATAATATTTTTCGTTATTTTCACTTATTTGTGAATAGTCAAACTATATTTATTAATATTAAAATGGAGAAAGCATTTTCTTTTAAATAGTTATTTCTAAGATATAAATACACCCAACTGTTCCTGTGCTTTCCAAGTATAATAGAAAGTTATATTTTTAGTAGTACAGAAAGAAATTTTCTTGAATGTTAACATTCAAAAGTACTGTTTTATTCATTTAATCAATGAACAAACAAAAATTTTAATTTCAAGATAAGGAGAATCACTACCTTTAGAAAGAAATTATTAGCTCCTTACTTTCCATCCCAATGAAGGCAAAGGAAACTAAGACAAAGATTCTTTAATTTAAATCTATTATTACCCCAATCATAAATTAGAATTACAAGTATTATCATATTTTATATAACCTATACAACTGTATATTTTATAAAAATATTTTTTAAATGTTGAGTATATAAGAGAAATAAACACGGCTTAAAATCATGACATATTTAGACATATCATAAGCCAAATCATGTCCTTTTTACTCTCCCTTCAACAAATAACCATAAATGGTAAAACCCAACAGAGTATGGTTAGCATACATGCTGAACGTTAGTCCTACTAGTAAAACACTAAGATCATAATGGATGTACATCTTATATAACTAATGTATCATATTTAAAACAGGAAGGTAGAATATCACACCTTATTATTTCCATAGGCCATATCCATTGCTTCTAGAGACAAGGAGCAAAGCGCATTTATTAAATGATGCAGTGATACGTCATCAAGATACCTAAAAAGAAAATGAAGAAATAAGAAATCCCAATCTAAACTATATGACTCATAACAATGTTTTTGTCAACTAAAAAAACTGACTCTTACTGTGAGCTTTCAAACAATCTTGAAAGTATATTGGAAATCACTGGTAAATCGGTCATCACTGCTGTTGTTAGAACCTAAGAGAAGAATAAAATTAAATGTAACATATGACACTTTGGGATGCACTAATTGGGTAAGAAGGACTAGAGCTTACTGTACTGGGTCCTTCTACAGCTCTCCCAGGTTTCAAGGCACCGCCACTACTAGGCTTTAATCCCAAAATCCATACAAGATGCTGTAAAATAAAAATAAAAAAATAAAACTGAAGTTCACAAAAGTATAAAAATTCTAATAATTCAAATTAAAATCAGTAGTAACTTCTAGTAACCAAAATTAAAATCAGTAGGTTTCTAAAACCTATAACTAAAATCAGTAATTAACATTCGTGTAAAATAATTAATTATATTAAACATAGGCAGCACAGCTTAGGCCATTAGGAGAACCATTCTACCACTTCCTACAATATGAGTCACATCTTCTTCCCTTTCTAACTTCTTTTTTCATATCTATTCTCCCTATTTTATATCTATCTCTTTATTCATATATATTCCTTAGGCCTGTCAAAAACATCAACAGGCATTGATTAGTCTAATTGTTAGCAATTACATATAAAAACAACACTGATCTCTGACGCAGACTCTATTACATACCTGAAGAGTTGCCAAGACAAGTTGCCATGATGTTCCAAGAACAGCCCCATGGCAATGTGCCAAGTTAAGTAGAGTCCTCATACACTGGATATTTTTCGAAGTCAGCTGTATTCAAAAAAGGATACATTTTCAAGAATTACATATGCTTAAAAATTAAAAGCTTATAAAGTAGTGCTAACGTATTAAAAGATTTTTTAAATACAAAATTAAGAAAAAGGTTTGGATGATTTTATAAGGAACAATTCATTTGATTAAAAGTTGTATTATCACATTAGTTACAATAATGTCAACTGCATGAACTAGCTTCTTTTAAATATACAATCCAGGTAAAAGTAAGTAAATAAATGTAATGATACATTTTGGCACACACAAAGATAGGTATGACAGGTTTCCTTGACATCTAATTGATAAACGAAAAAAGAACAAGTACATTACCATTACTGTCCCTTGAGGCTGGACTGCTAAAGGTTGACCCACTGCCACAACTTGCTGGTGAGATTCACTTGATGGACTTATCATCATAACACTTTGGCCCTGAACAGAATATGCTAGAACACAAAGGAAAGCCTAAATAATTAAAATATATTTTTTATATTGCATTTATAATAGTATTATGTTTTGATTAAACCAAGTTTAGCCATACACTTATTTAAATATCAGTAATACCTAATACCTATATGCAAATATTTTAAAAACTCAGGAAGGGTTGGGCACAGTGGCTGACATCTGCAATCCCGGCCATTTTAGGAGGCCAAGGCGGACAGATCACCTGAGGTCAGGAGTTCAAAACCAGCCTGGCCAACATGGTAAAACCCTGACTCTACTAAAAATACATAAATTAACCAGGTATGGTGATGCACTTCTGTAGTTTCAGCTACTCAGGAGGCTGAGGCAGATGAATTGTCTGAATTCAGGAGGCGGTGGTTGCAGTGAGCCAAGATCATGCTATTGCACTCCAGGCTGGGTGACAGAGGAGACTCCGTCTCAAAAACAAAAAACAAAAAACACACAAAAACCTCACGAGGTACAAAAACCTCACGAGGTACAAAAACAAAGACAAGTTAAGCAAATATTAAGTAATTTTCTATATAACATAAAATTATATAACTTTGGTAACTTCTTCATAAGCAATACAGAGCTAGAACACATTAAGTATTTTAAACATGTATCCCTGGTATAACTTTTTAAGTTAGAGATCAATGTACTTTCAGTTTGAAAACTGAATATTAGCCTGTAATACAGTTACTTGGGAGGCTGAGACAGGATCGCTTTAGCCCAGTTCAAGATCAGCCTGGGGAATACAGTGAGATCCTGTCTCATTAAAAACATATATAAGCGGGGATGGAGGCAGCAAACCACCATGGCATGCGTATACCTATGTAACGATCCTGCAAGATCTGCACATATACCCTAGAACTTAAAGTACAACAACAAAAAATTTTAATTCCCCTCCAAAAATATATATATATATATAAATCCTGAATATTACATTGAAATTTATATTATATGTAACAAACAAGTATTTTCAAAGAATTCAACAAGAAAATAAATTTTTGAATGTTGGTTTAACCTAAGTTGTTGCAAACATTATTATTCTACTAGTTCCACTAAAAAAAAAAAAAAAATCACCATTTCAACAGTATCCCATAGTTTACAAAGGACTTTTTAACTTATTTGACCCCAGTAACTGTTGTTTAAAATTCGTATTACAAGTTGAGCATCCCTTATCCAAAATGCTTAGGATCACAACTGTTTCAGATTTCAGATTTGTTCAGATTTTGGAATATGTATATTATATATACGTATGCATTTATTTGCATATTTGCAAATACTTATATTTGCATTTTATAGCTATTCACATTATATACTTATCCAATGATCATTTCCTTTTTCATGTTGATGCTCAACAAGTTTTGGATTTTGGAGCATTTTAGATTCTGAAATTTTGGATATCCCACCCCCATCCCCCACTCCCACCCCTTATTTTTTAAGAGCTCAGGGACATTAATTTCTCCAAGGTCACAGAGTCAGTACATGGAAAAGCAGACTTAAACTCAGAATGTCTATAATCTTCTGTCTATACCATAACATCCCATTACATAGAGAGAATTTTGAGTAAGCCTGTCTTACATTTGTTGGAAAGTGTAGCTGCAGTGGTAGTATTTAATACAGTAAGAGCATAATGAGGAGGCAGGGAACCTTTGCATATTGCAGTTATAAAGGCATCTCTTGAAGTTACAAGGCCCAGTCTTCCACAAAGAGCAGCCATAGTCAGTTCAGCTTTTAAAATATTCTCAGTGGCCGCTTCATCTGTGCTGAAAAGAAAGTATTTTATTTAATCTGATAAACTTATTTTTAATTATATTGTAAAGCATGACATGAAATTAAGTATTCAGTAAAGTATGAAGAAAATCTATTCAAAAGTTCGTCAAAATACTACCAATATACTGAAGAAGAAATTTTAATCTATTAACATAACCTAAAAAGTTGAACTGGGTAAAAGCAATGTGTAATACATTATTTATTACTGAAGACAAGGACTATGAACATAAAGACTTAGCTTAAAATGCCAAGCATTTTGAAATAAGTAAATTTCTAAATCCTAAAGAAAAACAACAAATTAAATATAATCATTGCAAAAACAGTTCTAAGTCTTGAAATGAAAAAGGTATTCTGTAATTTTAGGATTGTATTTTCCATTAAAACATCAAAAAATTCTGGTGGCTTGGGGTAGGGCAAGGAAAGAATGAGGAAGGGGGATGAGAGAAAAAGAATAATGTTTCACACACATAAAAAACTAATATTAGAAAATAATTCTGCCCAGGCACAGTGGCTCATGCCTGTAACCCCAGTACTTTAGGAAGCCGAGGTGGGTGGATCACTCGAGGTCAGGAGATTGAGACCAGCCTGGCCAACATGGTGAAACCCCATCTCTACTAAAAATATAAAAATTAGCCAGGCGTGGTGGCAGGCACCTGTAATCCCAGCTACTCGGGAGGCTGAGGCAGTAGAATCGCTTGAAACTGGGAGGCAGAGGTTGCAGTGAGCCAAGATTGTGCCATTGCACTCCAGCCTGGGGGACAAGAGTGAGACTTCCTTTCAAAAAAAAAAAAAAAAAAAGGAGAGAAAGAAAAGAAAATAATTATAGGAACAAATTTAAGTAAATCATTTTAATGTGTTTTTTTGACTGACACAGTGCAATATTAAACTTACAAAGACTTAATACCTGGCATCCAGAAGGAGTGAGAGTGCAGCAAGAAGACCACACCAGCAGGCATTCACCATTTCTTCCCAAACAGCCCTACTAACTTAAAGAAAAAAAAAATACAATACTGAATTATAATTATAGATAGCACAATATTTAATAATGTCAAATTCTAAAACTTTCCTCGATAATGTCAAATATTCCATCAGCTTAATTATTAAATACTAATATTTAGTATTTAAAAAATTAAAAGAACGAAAACTCAGAAGCCATACTATAGTTTCGGACTTGAAGAAGTCTTAAAAATAAGTTGTTTTGAGGCCGGGCGCGGTGGCTCAAGCCTGTAATCCCAGCACTTTGGGAGGCCGAGGCGGGTGGATCACGAGGTCAAGGGATCGAGACCATCCTGGTCAACATGGTGAAACCCCGTCTCTACTAAAAATACAAAAAAATTAGCTGGGCATGGTGGCGCATGCCTGTAATCCCAGCTACTCAGGAGGCTGAGGCAGGAGAATTGCCTGAACCCAGGAGGTGGAGGTTGCGGTGAGCAGAGATCGCGCCATTGCACTCCAGCCTGGGTAACAAGAGCGAAACTCCACCTCAAAAAAAAAAAAAAAGTTGTTTTAAAATATCTACGGTAAGATCTTTCTGTGCACAAGTTAACTGGTATGTGTACGTATATATACATTATTTATACTTATATTTTGGAGCTGAGTCTTGCTCTGTCACCCAGGCTGGAGTGCAGTGGCGTGATCGCAGCTCCCTGCAACCTCCGCCTCCCGGGTTCAAGTGATTCTCCTGACTTAGCCTCCTAAGTAGTTGTGATTATAGGCATGCACCACCAGGCTGGCTAATTTCTGTAGTTTTAGTAGAGATGTGGTTTCACCGTGTTGGTCAGGCTGGTCATGATCTCCTAACCTCATGATACACTTGCTTTGGCCTCCCAAAATGCTGGGATTACACACGTAAGCCACTGCACCTGGCCATATATATATATAAATTTTTTTTAAGAGACAGGGTTTTGTTGTGTTACCCAGACTGGACTAGACCTCCTGGGCTCAAGCAATCCTCCTGCTTCAGCCAGTAGCTGGCATTATAGGCACATGCCACAATGCCCAGCTGTTATCCTTTCCTTTCCCTTCCTCTTCAACCAAACTTTCTTGGCCTGTGTAACCATTTGGAGTAAGGGCAGGGTGCAGTGTAACAAACTGGCTCAGCCAGAAGACTGATTATATATGTTGAGAATCAAGCAAATAAGTCCATACACTGAGCAAAATGTGAACAGGTTCCACACTGTTGGAGAGGGGAATTACAAATACAGAAAGTTAAAAATAAACCTTGTGGTACTGAACTGGAACTGAAGAAGCTAGTGTGATGTCATGGTAGTTCAACATACATAGAGAAATAGACATTTTGGAAATGTAGAGAGATGTGTGCTTGTGTGTGCATAGGTGTGTGGATGTGGATATGTATTTCCTATCCAAGTAGCAAAAAGGATACCTAGTATCCCTGTGTTCATTTCAATACTATTCTACACTAAAAGGAACGAGGGTTTCCTGGAGATATGACTGATACCTGGGCTGGACAAGAATAATCCGAGATCAGCCTAGAACATCTTGTTCTATCAAAGAGTAAGGAAGTGCTCAGAGAATTTCAAAAGGGCATGGGACATGTCCAAAGGACACAGGGGCCATCTTGAAAGAGGTACCATTGGCCATGTTGGGAACAATCTGAGCATCAAACCAAATAATAGTAGTCAAAGACTGTAATCCTTTGAATAAAACAGAAATCCATGAATCTATACTAATATAAGTGAACAAATGTTTAAAAATAAGTGCAGAAGGGAAAGCACTCTTTTGTAGTAACAATCTGAAAGTATTTTTCCAAAAATTAATTAATTATACATTGAAGAAACCAGGCTGACATTGTATTAACCATCTGATAGAACCAAGCATCTCCAATAATGACACAAATTGATATTGTAGTATGCTTCCTAATACAGTGACAGAGTAAGTACAGCACAGCAACATTTCTGTGCCAGTCCTGTCAAAAATGAATAAACTGAATTTAATTATGAAGGAACACAACACAAACTCAAACTAACTGACTTGTACTCACGAAAAGTCAAGGTCACATAAAACAAGGAAGAACTACAAAACTCTTCCAAGTTGAGATATGGCAACTAAATTCAACACATGAAAGGACATCACTAGGGCAACTGGTAACATTTGAATGATATCTGGAAGATCATATTGGATTGACGTTAAATTTCTGATGGTGATTGTACTATGATACACAGGAGACTGTCTGTATTTTGAGAAAATGCACACTGATGCATTAAAGGGTAGTAATATGGCATCATGTCTGCAATTTATTCTCTAAATAAGGTCAGGAAAAAGTATAGTCACATGTACGTAATTCAAGAAAATCGTAAGGTAAATGTGGGAAAGTGGTTAACACTTGAGAAGTAAGTGTGAAAGACTTATAGAAAGTATAATTTTTGCAAATTCTCTGTAAATTCCATATTATTTCCAATAGAATCTGGACTCCAATAAAAATACAGACTCATACCAATTTCCTTATCCACTTGGTCTGATGCGGACTGTAAATCCTGCTGCTCTGACGACTGTGTTGGTGAAGAAGCTTCTTCGGTGGTGGTCTGACATTCTGTTTCAACCTCTCCTAACTCTCCTTCAATCATACTTGTGATTCCACGAACAAGGTCTAGCAAACAATGGAATGCCACAGACATGGCATAACCTTCAGGGATAGTTGGAGGCTCAACTTTGTCCAACATTTCTAAGCTGAAATTATGAAAAAGAATAGTAATGAGAAGCCACAGCAAAAAAAATACATAAAACTCTGTCTACAATTTATGGACTATAGAAATTAAAATTAACAGAATAGCAAAAATAAAGGGACATTACCAAGTTTGTTTTATTTAAGGGAGGGATACCTTCGTGGTATTTTAATAACCTGAATAGAAAAATTAAGGCCTACCCACTGCCATAACTATTTTAATAATTTACTTCTTGTTCTCCCCTGAGTTATGCCAATGTTTTCATTAAATATTAGATATTAGAAAAATAAAGACTGACACACAAAATATGAGATAGATTATAAAACTTCTCAAACTCTGACTTGTACTTTAAAAATAACATGCCATCAAATCATATCACTCCTATGAAGAGTAAGATGCTTTTCGCACCGTGAGATGCCCAGCTCACCTACCATTTCAAATATAATCTGCCAACAAAGTAAGAATAGTGTGTCAAGTTCAAACTGCAGAGCAACTTTTTACCCCATAATTAGAAGAAAGTTTTCAGAAGGAAGGGCAATAAATCTGTTTTAAATCATGGCAGATAGTGAACTATGGTTCTAAATCTCTTAAAATTGGTATCTGGCAAAATAATTCCCAGAAAAAATAATAATTCAATTGACAAAGAACTAATGATTCTGGAACAACTGGATATTCACATAAAGAAGAGCAATGCTGGACTCCCATCTCACACCATATATAAAATTGACTCCAAAATGAATCAATGACTTAAACGTAAGAGCTAAAACTATAAAACTCTTAGAAGAAAACATAGGTAAAAATCTTCATGACCTCAGATAGGCAAAGGTTTGTTAGATATGACACCAAAAGCATAAGCAACAAAGGAAAAAACAGATTCATCAAAATTAAAAACAATTGTATTTCAAAAAGCAGCAGTCTAGAAAATGAAAAGACGCACAGAATGAAAGAAAACTTTTGCAAATCACATATCTGATAAGAGACAGGCATCCAGAATATATAACTCTGAAAACTAAATAAGAAAAAGACAATTCAATTAAAAAGGAGCAACGCGCCAGGTGCCGTGGCTCACACCTGTAATCCCGGCACTTTGGGAGACTGAGGGGGGCTAATCACGAGGTCCGGAGATCAAGATCATCCTGGTTAAGACAGTGAAACCCCATCTCTACTAAAAATGCAGAAAAAAATTAGCTGGGTATGGTGGCACATGTCTGTAGTCCCAGCTGCTCAGGAGGCTGAGGCAGGAGAATCACTTGAACCCAGGAGCTGGAGGGTGCAGTGAGCTGAGATCATGCCACTGCACTCCAGCCTGGGCAACAGAGACTCTGTCTCAAAAATAAATAAATAAATAAAGGAGCAATGAATCTGAATAGACATTTCTCCCAACATGACATATCAATGCCCAAGAAGCATACAAACATGCTTACTACCAGTCATTAGGGAATGCAAATCAAAGCACTTAAGTAAGGTATCATTTCACAAACACTGGGATGACTGCAATAAAAAAGATTAATAAGTATTGCGGAGGATGTGGAGGTATTTGAACCCTCACACATTGCTGGTAGGAACATAAAATGATACAATTGCTTGGGAAACAATTTGGCATTTCCTCAAAAATTTAAACATAGAGTGACCATATAAACCAGCAATTCCACTATTAGTTGCATATCCAATAGAAATGAAAACACATGTCTATGCAAAAACTTGTAGACAAATGCTCATAGCAGTATTATTCATAATAAACAAAAGTAAAAAATAACCCAATACGCATCAATTGATGAAAAAAGCCATTCCATACACTGGAATATTATTCAGACATATAAAGGTGTGTGAACACATGCTATAACACAGATGAACCTTCAAAACATTATGCTGATGTGGGAGCTAAAAAAGTGGATCTCATGAAGTCAGAAAGCAGATGGGTGGTTCCCAGGGGCCAGGAAGGATGGAGATTTGGGGGTGAAGACAGGTTGATGAATAGGTACAAAAATACAATTAAACGGAAAGGAATAAAGTTTAGTATTTAACAGTTCGGTACGGTATAATCTATTGTATATTTTAAAATAGCCAGAACACAAGAATTCAAATGTTCCCAGCATAAAGAAAAGATAAATGTTTGAGGTGATAAGACAATTACCCTGATTTGATCACTACACATTATATAAATGTATCAAAATATCACATATACCCTGGAAATATACATTTATTACATATCAATTTAAAAAATTATGTTGTCTCAAAGAAGCATGACACAAAAGGACATTTACTGTGTCATTCCAGTTATATGGAATATCCAGAATTGGCAAATCAATAGGTGCAGAAAGCAGATTAGTGGCTGTTAAGGGGCTAGAAGGGGGACTTGGGAAATGACTGGAATGGGTATATGGTTTTTCAGGGGTGATAAAATTTTCTAGAATTAAGTAGTGATAATGGTTGTACAACTTTGCAATATAGTGCAACTATGAACTGTACACTATAAAAGGGTGAATTTCATGGCATATGAATTATCTCAAAAGTAAAATTGAAATTACTAAAGATTACAATAAAAAAGCTAAGAAAATTTCCTACCTCAAATTCTTAAAGTTTGTGAATCATCAAGGTAGGTAATTAATAAAGAAATGCTAATTTAGAAAATGTAAGAACATCTATATATAGTGATCATTCAACAAGCAAATACTCTTAGCCTAGGACTCTACTTTTTGAATATGTATAATCTCATTTAACTCCTCACAAAAACCGTTAAGAGACACAGATAATAAAACCGAGGACTAAGATGACAGTTATTAATCAGTAGTTTTTTAACTCAAGTCTGACACTAAAGCCTAACACCAATGTGTCAACTCTTTAGCTTTTAAAATTTTATGTAATCATTAGAAATACATTTACATTATCGATAAAGAAATTTAAGCTCTAGAGCTGGAGGCCATTAGCAAAACCAAATACTACATGTTCTCACTTATAAGTGGCGGCTAAATGATAAGAACTTATGAACACAAAGAAGGAAACACCAGACACTGGGGTCTACTTGAAGGGGGAGGGTAGGAGGAAGGAAAGGAGCAGAAAAGGTGAACTATTGGGTACTGGGCTTAACACCTGGGTGGTGAGATAATACATACAACAAATACCCATGACACATGTTTAACTATTTAACAAACCTTCACAAGCACCCCCAAATGTAAAATAAAAGTTAAAAAAAGAGAAAGAAAGTTAAGCTCAAATGGAGATAGAGTTTATGGGTTTAATCTTTCCCAGGCCAGTTAACCTTAGAGAGCTGCATCCTGCATAAACCAGTGCTAAGCATCTCGTTAGATAAATTCCTGTTCTCAATGAATATGTGATCTATTGGGAAAATGTATCTAAAACATAAAATAATCCAAAACACTGTAAACTCTAATTCTCAAATTCTATGGCACAGACTTTAAGCACTACAATAGTTAACAGGTAATTTATACTTTTTATTTATACCATGAACCTAAAAGAAAACACATACTTTCTTACCTCACTGTTTCAGTGCCACTTTATTAAAATTACTGCATAAATTCCACTTTTAGATAAAGTGCAATTTATTTGTTTAAACATTTTAAACTTAAGGTCAAATAGCAAAAACTGTCTCAAGTCCAACTTTGAAAGGATCTAAAGTATATTAAATATGAAAGAACATGCCACCAATATTGATGTCAAAACTACTTCTATCTATACATCACTTAAGTTTTCAAATTATACTCAGTCAATAAAAGAACAGAATGCACAATCAGATGCCAATTTAACAGTTAAGCTCCAATGTGAACATACTAACCCACGTACAAAATAACTCCCAATATTTTCTGGCTGTTTATTATTTCAGAATTAAGCAATTTCCGCATGTAAAGCACTAAAAAAAAAAAAAAAAATCAAGAAACTAAGCATATGTTCCTTTAGAGATTCAGTCCTAATCTTGTCTTCATGAGAGAAAATTAAGATAAAGTGAAATCAACTGCCATATTAAAAAATGACAGTATTTAGTAGCAGATTCAGTTAAAATCCAGCATAAATAATTTGTTTGTTGGCTTTTAATAATAAATTTTAAAAAGCAGTTTTACAATCCAGTCAAGTATTCATTATGTTGTGGCTTGTTTCTATTTTTTTTTTCCTTCCTCAAGCACACATCTTCACTCCTTCCCTTTACGTGTCTGCTCAGTATTATCTCCTCCCGGAGACCCTTTCTGTCCCCATCTTCACGTTGGTCATTTTCTATCCCCTTAACTTACTTTTTCTTCAAATTAACCACTACCCAAGGTTATACTATATATTTACTTGTGTCCTTATTTATTTACTATCTCACTCACTAAAGTGTAAGCTCTATGAAGGCAAGAATTTTCTCCTGTGTAGGAAGTAGAAAAGTTCCTCTTCAAAGTTTCCTTTCTTGTTAAAGAACAAATACTAAGTGTTAGAAATAAGAGTTTGTTTTAAAGACTAAAGCCTTCTTGCTTTTTGCTAATAACGCTTTGTTAAGCCCTATCCAATGTAGCTATCAGACATGCTCACAGGCATGTAGTACATTCTACCTCCTTGTACTTTAACCAAGATATTTGTGTTAGACATGCTCACAGACATGTAGTACATTCTATATTCCTATACTTTAACCAAGATATTTATGTTGTTACTTTTCTAAGTCCTTTTGCAAGCAACTTTCCATCCCTTCTTTATTTGGCCTTCCTGTTTTACTTTGGTTCTCCATTGCCTTTACCTATTCAAGAAAGTTTTAAGTTATTAGCTAACTGAGTTCAGTTTTAGATGGTGAGGTCTGGCTCCAACCAAGGGAGATCAGACACAACAGTAAGTATGATCCCAAATGCATAAGGGATAAATACGTCTGCTTTTCCTTTGTTTGTTGCACTCTCGTGGCAAGACTGCTGACGAGTGTACCCTTTCCAAAGAAAGTAAAGATTTCCTTGCTGAGAGATTCTTTGTCCTAGTGCTGACTTTTCTTTGCGGCACTGAAAATGTGTATGTAACATCCTGTGTTGGGTTTTGTTCAGGTTATAAAATGAGGTGGGAAGGTGAACTTGATAATTAATGTCTCCTTTCGTGCTAGATATCTGATTCTTTTACAACGTAATTATCTAGTGTGCTTGAGTCATTACCTTTTGTCCCAAGGCAAAGTCTGTATAATACTAAGTAGTTTTAGTATAAATGACTAAAAATAACAATATTTTAATTAAAACATTTTAGTCTTCTGTAACTCTATACTTTTATAATTTTAGGCAAAATCAATCTGCAAGGTAAAATATCACTAGGATGATACAATGCGGACTGACATACTATAGAAATTTATGATTTAAACTAGTCAAAGATTCTGTCTCACTTCTATTTTTTTTAAGAGATAGGGTTTCGTGGTTACCCAGCCTGTACTCCAACTCCTGACCTAAAGTGATTCTCCTGCTTCAGCCTCCTGAGTCTGTTTCACATTAAGTCTTCATTTATGTCATAAAGATTATTTTATTTTTAGACAGAATCTTGCTCTGTCACCCAGGCTGGAGTGTAGTAGCATGATATCAGCTCACTGCAACCTCTGCCTCCCAGGTTCAAGCGATTCTCATGCCTCAGTCTCCCGAGTAGCTGGGATTAGAGATGTACAACACCAGCCCAACTAATTTTTCTATTTTTAGTAGAGATGGGACTTTACCACGTTGGCCAGGCTGGTTTTGAACTCCTGACCTCAAGTGATCTGCCCATATCAGCCTCCTAAAGTACTGGGATTACAAGGATGAGTCACTGTACGTGGCTAAGGATGTTTTTTGTTTTGTTTTGTTTTGTTTTTGAGACAGAGTTTTGCTCTCGTCGCCCAGGCTGGAGTGCAATAGTGCAATTTGGCTCACCACAACCTCCACCTCCCGGGTTCAAGTGATTCTCCTGTCTCAGCCTTCTGATTAGCTGGGATTAAAGGCATTTGCCACCACGCCCGGCTAATTTTTTGTATTGTTAGTAGGGACAGGGTTTCTCCATGTTGGTCAGGTTGGTCTCCAATTCCCTACCACATGTGATCTGGTCGCCTTGGCCTCCCAAAGTGCTGGGATTATAGGCATGAGCCACCACATTTAATTATACATACCAATTACTCAAATATCTGTGATTGCCTCACAGTAACTGCAGCAAGGTTAAATACATGTAGTATAGACGTCTTATTTCTGTAAGTACTGTATTTCATTAAAACTTTTAAAAAATCAGTAGTACATCACTGAGTATGCACTTGTTAAATTGAAATGGCTAATAATAATTTAAAAGTAACAGATATGGAATCCATTAAGCACTTTTAATTAAAAACTAAAATTTCCATGTGTTAGTATGATTAGCTAAGCACTTAAAATAACTTTTCTTATACAAAGAATTCTGAAAATGAGATATATCACTACTTCTATGGTATAGATGAGAGAAATGAGGTAAAAAGAAAAAAAAAGATTATTTTTTTGTAAGTAACTCAGCTAATATGAGAAGAACTAAGCCCAAGTGGTCTGAAACTAATTCATATACTTAAACCAAAAAGCTGTATAGGAGAGCTAATAGGACCATACGAAAAAAAATCACATTTTGTTTTATAATGCTGTTAGTCTACAAACAGCACAAAAGAAAACAAATAAAATCCAGTCCTAGACACAATTTTCAAAATACAATAAAAGAAAATGAGCTCTAAAATGCATCAGAAATACTGAATCTAAAATTTAAAATATTATACAGAGAGAAGCATTTTAGGTTAAATATCACCCCCAACAATATCATTCCTTATAAAATAATGCTACTGCTACTTACTAGGTGGCTTTAGCACTGCCTTGAACTGTGATTGTTAAAATAGGTATCCAGGTTCCCCTATATTCAAATGCAGGTAGCAAAGTAACACCTCCACCAATCCCCACCATTCCTGAGTTAGCTGGTGCTGAGGCTGAGCCACCTAAATTATTGTTTCCTGTTAGAGAAGGGGAAAAAAACGAAAGATACTAATTTACTACTTGACTACAAATCAATAATATTCAAACACCTAGCCAATCTTCCAAAAAAAAGTCTATACTATCAGAATGGGTAATACAGAAATAAATGAAATCAGTACTATTTTGTCTATTAGAGAGTCTTCCTATTTCCCTAAAATACCATTTCCCTTTTTAAAATAAAAGCTACTAGAGGAAGTAAAAATACTGATAAATGTTTAGCATATCTTTCATTAGAACACTTTTGATCAGAAGTGGGAATAAAGTATAAAAAAACCATCACTCAGTAAAAAGTGGAGGAAAAGAAGGTAAAAGGAAACAAAAAACCATACAAATTCCCAAACAAACTTCAATCATGTTAACTCCTTTAGAGAGAGACTAAGGTTTCCTAAGGTGGTAACCATTTAAACTCTGTAAAGGGAGTCATAAAATAAAGATTCTTTTAAAAATGAAGATTAGCATCTAAACCTTTGTTCATATGTAATTAGATAAACTGAAAGTATGTCAGAGAAGAAAACCTATTCTGGAAAGAAAGACAGAAAACTGCTTCAATGACATCAGATTATTCTTTAAGTGTAATTATTTACTATCAACATATTTAGGTAACTCAAATATTTCTCTAACACAGGATTTCTTTTCTTTTCTTTTCTTTTTTTTTTTTTTTGATACGGAGTATCGCTCTTGTTACCCAGGCTGGAGTGCAATGGCTCGATCTCGGCTCACCGCAACCTCCGCCTCCTGGGCTCAGGCAATTCTCCTGCCTCAGCCTCCTGAGTAGCTGGGATTACAGGCACGTGCCATCATGCCCAGCTAATTTTTTTGTATTTTTAGTAGAGACGAGGTTTCACCATGTTGACCAGGATGGTCTCGATCTCTTGACCACGTGATCCACCCACCTCGGCCTCCCAAAGTGCTGGGATTACAGACTTGAGCCACCGAGCCCGGCCTATCACAGGATTTCTATATAATATCCTCCCAGAACAGTCAATACTGTAACTTATGGCAGAATATGTGAAACAGAATTATGAATATGTTTTTACCAGCTTGGTTGCTTGTAGCAGGATTTCCAGTAGCAGGGACAAGAAACAAGGACTGTATAAAAGATCCCAGTGCATTTACAATATCACGAAAAACCTTAGTAGAATGCTGTTTCATATCATAGGACTGACAAAATGACCTGTAAAATAATTTAAAATGTTTCTTGGAAAAACATTGGAAGGTATTAAACATTTTAAACCTTTTTATAACAAGTAATATTACTATAAGAGTTACCATGCTATACTCAAAAACTCTTCATTACACCTGAGTGATTTTACTAATTTAGGACAAAGGTTCAGATTGAGGTCATGGTTCTACAAATTATTTTGGCTATATTCAGTTGGTAAATTCAGAATGATGTCTATCATTCATCACATGTGTCTACCTCATAGTTCTTTTCCACATCTATACCCAACCCCTCCTTATAGGTACTATTCTCCTCATAGATCCTATTTTCTTTGTTTAGAAATCACTAATACTGGGAATAAATACCAAAAGTGTTCCCACTAGTTTATTAACATATTATAGGCTAGTTTACAAGTCAATAAACATTCACCTTTCTATTTAACAAACTATTGCAGAGGTTTTACCTTAATAGTTGAGGCTGCACACAAAATCTGTGTATTGATTCCACTGCAACGGCTCGTAGCCACTGTGGTTTATCTGCATCCAGAAATTTCACCAGAAGTGACAGAAATATCTCACATTCAGTTACCTAAAAATATATGATTTTTAAATATTATTTCTTTGAATCAAATACAAGAATTATAGACTGTGTTCTTGTTCTTAACTTAGTGCTATGGACAAACCAATAAAATCTTTTAGATTAGAAATCAAACTCTCAATGAGGAGTGCAGAAACAGAGAAAGTAAACATAGTTGTATATGGAAATATTAACAGTAAAAATAATCACAGTATTTCTCTAAAGATATTCCTGAAAATACTAGTAATCTGCGAATACGGTTAATCCTTTATCCTTGCTCTTTAGAAAGCAGAGAATATCATCATGCCACCTCCATTTCTAAAAACTGCCAGATAACATGTGCCACATAAACTGCTGACAGGATGCATGTTCTACTCTTCAGAGCAGTTTTTCCATACTTTCTTTTGCTGCTAAGGAAACAAAGAGGCAAGCCAAAGGGTGCTTAGCATAAATTTTTTAGTAGAAAAATAAGGAGGAACCTACAGCAGTTGACAGATGTAACTCTTAGAACAGGGCCTGTACTGCTAATTAAGTATTAATTATCATTACTGTTGTTGTTAATATAGACCATTTTCTCAGCAGGCTCTTCAAAAATAAATAATGTTCAAGGCACATTCAAAGCATTATTCATTACATGTCTGATAGCTGAATGAATGAACAAACCAAAGCTAACCAGTTTATTCAAAGGTAAATGGATTGTTTCTGTTACTTATTAATTGACGATACAGCAAGACCTCTGGGAGGTAAAAATTAAGCTGACATAGTGATGACTAGGCCAAATTGATTCTTGCTACCAGGTGCAGCAAGTTACTGGATGTTTTAGCTGGGGTATCTCAAAATGAGTGAACCATAATGTGGGACAAGAAATTTAGGGAAATATAGTAGCCCTCAGGTTTTTAGAAAGTCTTAGCTGTTAGTATTTTCTAATGTCTTTCAGTATCTTTAACTGGATGCTTAAAAGCAGGACATAATCATAATGTCACAGGAGGAATAACTAAAAATATTATTACTTAGACTGTTAATGATTGGGAAGTATATGCAGAGGTTTAGCATTGCCCTAAACAAGTAAAGCTTAGTTTAAAAGAACCAGATCAGAACTCAGGTGGCTCAGCTTCTTTATCCAGCAACCTTGCAGATGAGGACAAGTGTGGTTGCCTTTTTTATAAATAAAGGGTGAAAACATCTACATCTTCCTGGGAAATCAAACATGAAAAATGTAAGAAAAAACATCCCCTAAATGTGATAAAGCAAATGAAGAGAGCATTGTTTTTTTTCTAAACAACGTGACCCCTCTTTAGAGAAAGAACTGAAAAAGAAAAAATCATGCTAGTGACTCATCGGACAACAGCTCTTTCTACTGGAGGGTTTTAATATTAGTAAGTCCTTCAACAAACACAACATCAGCTTTAGAGTGTAAGTGGCATATAAGTGTGGTGGACGCATTTAAGGTTCATCAGCTAAGCTTTGAGGCAAGAATATAAAGGATCTCAGAAGCATCAAGAATATCCCAGCCAAAGTAATAATACTTTTATAAAACTTGCCTTGAAAAGTATATCATTTTTTTCTCTATGACACAATGATTATAATACAAACCAATCATTTATCAAATTATGCTGGAGCCACTAAAATGTTATGATTTGAGCCTCTTTCCTGAAGTCTGGAACCTTGTTCTCCTTTTGTTTCTTCTTGTTAAGTGTGAAAGTTTAAGCAGAGAACTAGTGTTGACAGCATTGGGGCCTCAATGGACAAAACCTCCAATCTGTTAAGTCTTTCCCTCAAGAGGCTGCACTCATAAAGAAACAGGTTTTCCAATTAGCATTTATGGTGTAAATCCCACTTTTGTGACCCAGATACTTCATGAACTCCACTATACCAACATGAAGGGTAACGAATGTTTTTGAACTCGTTTTGGTACTAGATTATCATCTAGATGTCAAGAGATACCTGATGGCTTAAGATGAATCAAAGTTACTAAGGTAGACATTCTAATCTCAATATCACATAGAGTCTAATAAAGAATCCTGTACGTTAAGTGCTGGCTTGGGAGACAATGAAGAAAATCTGGTAGTACATTCATGCAGAAGTGCATTTTTTCAGGAGCTTGTCAGAGTTAACAACCTTGGAGCTAATGGATTTGTTAGTGATAAGATCTTTTGTCTGTGAAGAAGTAGAAAATTAGTTTGGACAAGAAAATTTAGCCTCATTCATTCCTTTCTAAAACTGGTTTAAGTCAAGGGCAGAAAAGAGATATGCTAGCCTCTTTTTTTGAGACAGAATTTAACCCTGTCACCCAGGTTGTAGTACAGTGGCTCAATCTTGGCTCACTGCAACCTCCACCTCCTGGGTTCAAGTGATTCTCATCCCTCAGCCTCCTGAGAAGCTGGGATTACAAGTGTGTGCCACCATAACTGGCTAATTTTTGTATTTTTAGTAGAGCTGGGGTTTCGCCATGTTAGCCAGGATAGTCTCAAACTCCTGACTTCAAGTGATCATCCGCCTCAGCCTCTCAAAGTGCTGGAATTACAGATGGAATTACAGCCTCCCAAAGTGCTGGAATTACTGGCTCCACGACACCTAGCCACTAGCCTCTTATAATTAAGTTTCATAAATTCCTTAAGAGTACTTGCTTAAGGAAAGTTATCTGGGCATGCATCCTAAGTGGTTCAGATAGCAGAAAAGCACCTACTTTGGATGACAGAAAGGGAAAAGAATATAGTATAGTACCTAATATATCTCTACTAAATGAATGAGAAATTCTAATTTCCTCTAGTTACTCTAGATGTATTAACATAACTAGCCTTTGAAGATTATCTTCACCCTTGAGCTATCTGATAGAGTGAGATAATCTGGTGAATACTGGGAAGCACATAATTCTAGAGCAGTTATTCCCAAAGTGCAGTCCCTGCGCCCCCTTAGGGGTCCCTGAGACAATTTCAGGTGGTCTCCAAGTCCAAACTTATTTTCATAATAATATACTATTTGCCATTTTCAAAGCACTGACATTTGTACTGACGACAGAAAAGCAGCAATGGGCAAAATAGCTGGTGCCTTGGCAGAAATCAAGGCAGTAACCCCAAACTGTACTAGTGTCATTGGATTCTTCACTCCCACACAGGACTTTTTTAAAACATTTGTTTCACTTAAGAACCATAATAAATGGGCCAGGTGCACTGGCTCACTCCTATAATCCTAGCACTTTGGGAGGCCGAGGCGGGCAGATCACTTGAGGTCAGGAGTTCAAAACCAGCCTGGCCAACATGGTGAAACCCCGTCCCTACTAAAAATATTTTAAAAATTAGCTGGGCATGGTGGCAGGCACCTGTAATCTCAGCTACTTGGGAGACTGAGGCAGGAGAATCAGTTGAACCTGGAAAGCAGAGGTTGCAGTGAGCCGAGACTGTGCCACTGCACTCCAGCCTGGGCAATGAGAGCAAAATTCTGTCTTAAAAAAAGTATTAATTAAAAAAAAGAACAATAATCAAAACTAAAATTAAAATAAAATACAGATTGATTTTGTTAAATCTGTCCCCTAAAGTACATGTCTTTTTAATGTTCTGTGTGACAAAACAGGAAATACACAGGAAGCATTTTTGCTGTGTATCAAAGTACTATCATTGTTGGAAGAAAATCACAGCTGTGCAGTGAGCTAGTCTTTTTACCCTGTGGAATAACATTTTAACTGAAAAAGCAAAAAGTAAATCACTATTATTTACACTTGTATATTTTGTACAGTTTCTCAAAAATGAACAAAATAAGTCTGTCACTTTAGAGTAAACAACTATGTTTGTTGCCAATAATAAAATTTAAGCTTTCAAGCAAAAATCGGAATTTTTAAAAACTTGTACCTACCCTGTAACCTAAGTCTCTTCTGATAAATGGTGGTGATATTAACAATGTAATATTTGGTACTGCACAAAGTGATAACATTTAGAATATCTACACAACTAAAATACACGTTACAAAATCATGCATGGCTTAAAAGATCCATTTGAAGTTAAGAGGAATGAAATGAATTTTACTGTAACACAGTATAAAAATGTTTCAGATCCTAGACCTCTAAGAAAGTGTCACTGGTCCTGTTTGTTACAGTATCAAAGAAGAATATCCACCATTATTATCTAAAAAGGCCATTGATATAATTCTGCCTTCTAACTACATGTTTTTGTGAAGCCAGATTTTCATCATATGAGTCAACCCAAAAATCATATCACAACAGAATGTAGACAAAAGATATGAGAATTCAGTTCTCTGCTATTACATTCAAGACATTTACATTTGGAAAATGTAATGTTTTTTCTTTAAAACATAATTATTTTTCATAAAAATACGTTAACATATATAGGTTTAGTATCATTTCAGCTTTAATTCTTCATAAATAATGACAGATCAAATACATAAAAGCTCCTATTTTTTAATATAAAGGGGTCACCATTTTCATAGGGCATTCAACATGATTTATTTATTTTAGGTCCTGGTCTGTCTTCGATCCCCAAGTGTCACTCCCTCCCAGCATTCCCCTCCCACCACCCACCCCCAGAATCACCAGCTGAGATGATTTCAGGGACCAACAGGGACACAAAGGGCTGAGTGATTGGAACAGTGGTGTGCTGCCAGAGATGGCAGACAGCCAGGGCATCCCCCAGCACCTTTCTACTCTGGAACGTTATGTTACCTGCCAGAGTGTTCTGAACGGTAGCACCCCCTCTCCGACATGGTTATTTATTAAATGACCACTTCCTTTTGCAAAAAAAAAAAAAAAAAAAAGGAAAGAGTATAAAGCTGTCTTGACACTGAAAAGTGAAAGAATTATTCCTCTAGTATGTCTTCTAGGAGATGTACCATTTCAGGTTTAAATAAAGAAAATACAGAGAAGTAAGAAAGAGGCATCTCACATCAACCATATATAGCTTACCTACAACTACCAGGCCTCTAACTTGTGCCCTTCAAGAAACTGTAGAATGCCTGAATTTTTCTAAACTAATAAACATGTGCCAACGTAGCCAATTATAATA